CTCAAGCAGGTAATGGGGATATATATACACCTTCTTCTTCTTTTATAAATGTATTGTTCCGCTTCAAATCAGTCTTATATTTTTGCCAAATCCAAGTCTCTATTTAAAAAAAAGAACTGACAAAAAATTGTGGGCGAATCAAACTAGTTCCTACAATACATGTACTTTTCGTTCATCCTAAATCGATTCACTCAAGCTCCTAATTTTTTAACTCAGGTGAGTGAACAGCCGACACACATACTCACCAACAAATTTTCAGCTTTCACCACCGTGCCGTCGCATCACCAAAGAATCGACAATAAAATAATCTAGGAATTCGGATATTGGGAAGCTAACAAACGGGAAACGAAAAGAAAAAAAAAGACGCGCACGAAACAAAACAAAAAAAATTAGGTTAGGCGAAATGAGCATTACCTTCTGAAATTGTCCCAGTAATTGTTAGCTCTGTTTCCGGGCGCAACCTGGTTATTCAACGCTTGGCCATTCCACAATTGGTTGGACAGGGCGTGGTTAATGTTAGGATTGACGGCATGCAACAGATTGTTAGCGGGGACGTTGTTTGAATCTAGCAGGCGGCCGCCGCCGCTCTGAGCGTTACTGTCGTTTACGTAGTTTGGAGCCATGTTAGAAGAGGGCGCCAGCGGAGAGGGGTTGTACTGGTTGAGGTTAGGCAGCGAGAAAGCGCCCGAGACGTGGTTATCTTTGTGGTGGTTGGAGTTGGGGATAGGGTTCGAGTTGGGGATAGGGTTTGAGTTGGGGTAGTACGGATTGGAACAACGGAGTTCCGACAGGAGATTCTGGAGAAGATCGCCAAGGTGATCGCCATTGGACCTGAGTGGATTCTCCATTCTGACCTGAAGCTGAAACAGTTAATTGTTTACTAGGAGAATCCCTCGAGTATTTGGATCAATGGAATTTGAAGCCAGAGGTTTTTTCAAACAAACCTAACATGTTTATACAATATATCTATTGACATGACCAAACCCCCCACCCTTACCAAAGCTAAGTTGTTCTTCAAGCTCTCGATCTCCCTCTGCTGCATGCACAGCACTTGGCAGCACTGATTCAGTGTGTCGAGAATTGCAGACTGCGCCTGCCAGTGTCCGTTGTTGAGGTTGCTGTGGCTGGCATTCGACTCGGGGGTCCAAGGTAAGCCCGCGTTCGGATTCGGGACGTTCAACAGGTTCGAGGGGTACATCGGCGAAGGAGTCAGGTTATTTCTTAGAACGTTCGAATTGGGTTGGTTGAAATTCGTGGATGACATTGCTTGGTGCTCCAGCATAGAGTCGCAGAGACTCTTCATCAGGTAGAGCTGTTTCTGTACCTGGAGAAAGCAATAATGATTAATATGCTGTTGTAATGGTAGAATGTTGTTGAGTCTTAAAAAACAGAGGTACATAGACAGGTGGAATTTTGATTTTACAAACTACCACTAGATGGCGCTGCTGTGAAAAATGTAGCATCACAATATTTGTAAAACTCGTATTTCAAATCAAATCAAATTTAGGCATCACCGAAGTTAATACAAATGTATAAAAGACACATCATATGAACTTATTGGACTAGTCATAACAGAACCTACAAGCTACACCAGTACAAATACAAAATAAGTATATATTAAAAAGAAGTACCATCTGTTTATAAATAAAAGGAACAATGGGGAATGTTCCTCCTGACGAAAATCAAATAGTTTTCATAAAAGAGCTCTAAAACAACGCATTTTAAACTTATCATTTCAACATTTTTCTTTAAAAACTTATTTAAATACTTAAATAAGTATGCATTCAACATTTAAAGGGATTCGTTTCTATTTCACCATTTGGCAACATCGGTTATAGCTAATAAAGGACAATGAATCTGTTACCTGTATGAGACAAACAAAGATGACATATTTCAGAGGCGTGATGTTCTGTTTACTTATGTTCCGAGTTCCGAGACATTCTTTGACATATTATATTATGCGCACCTACCCTATCTTCCTCTATATAAATAAATAACAAAAAAACTGTTGTTTATGTGGCTTGTGGAGGTGGTATTGAACTATAACTTATATTTTGCCTTAACTGTTGATTCATAAAGATAATTTTCCTTTTTTAAAGTAGAATATCTAGGTACGTATAAATTATCTCAACTTGATATAGGCGCTGTTACCAATATGTGAACTAGAAACAAATCCCTTTAAAAATTAAAACCCAACATTTGAAACATCAATTTGAATACTTTTCGAAGTGAATTTGAAAAATTCATGAATTAAACTCAACTTCATTTTGTTCAAACTTGCATTTGCTGTAATAACCCAAATTGAGGGACATTCCCCATTGTACAATCAAAGAACATTGTCATTGAAAATCTACTGAAATATACTGCATATATTTGAAGAGCACTAACATAGTGAAAGTTTGAGTTTTCTACCACTAGGTGGCGCTTGCAAATAGCATCTCTGAACCTAGAAGGGCTTGGCCTTCTTACGGGTATGGCCAATGGGTGTGGTCTAATACTTGAAATAGCAAGTTGCTTTCTAGTTGGCTCTTTGTTGTAGGTTATTTTGAAATATTCATGTTAACCATAAGTTTTGGTTGTAAACATTTAAAAAACGACATGTTTCCATATTTGAAATGAAACTTTGAATTCTTTGAACGAAAGGTGAAATGAAGTTATGTATTATTATTATTCTTCTTCTTCCTTTAATCCGAGGTCGAAGATATTCAGAAAACAGTAACAAGCAAACGGGAAATGGATGTTTCATGATCTGTATCCATTTTGTGTTCTGTGTACTGCAAATCAAAGCGAACAGAACCTAGAAACAATGAATTCAAGTCATTTGATGTAGATGTCGCCACTGAAATTGAATGAAAATTCTATCGCCAAGGCGTCTTATCCAAATCTACCAGCAAAATTTATCTATTGCAATTTTTCAATGTGTGTTGGAAATCTACCGTCTACATGGTCACCCTGGATGGATGTTATATATTCAAATACGTATGGATACGACATGGATGATGATGATAATAATGAGGAGGATTGAACTTCCTCAGTTTGATCTTCCTCTTGAAGATGATCACTTGGTGATCGAAACACGTGTTGAGGTGTTATGACGGTTTGGTATTGGGATAAAACTACAGTAATATTCATTATTGTTATTGAAAATGAAAATTATTGAATTTTCTTTCGAAAAAAACCACATGCAATATAATAGCATACAACTGAAAGATAATAAAAATTACGAGAGGCAAAACTACAAATAAAGTTATGGAAAATCATGTATATTTTAAAAATTCGTTTCACCCACCTCCGTTTTTTCTTGATCTACGTTAGACCTGGCTTGATCCCTGTATCCCACAGTACCCACGGAAGCACTGCGCGCATTTCTATCTTGGTAAAAACCCCTGTTACTGGAACTCGCAGGCTGAACATAAGCATTACGCGACAGATTCTCCGATCGATGTTTAGACGCATTGGAAGGCGAGTAATTCAGAGAAGGCAGAGAGATAGCGTTGTGATTGTCGCTAAGCTCGGCGTACTCGTTCATGTCTTCCTCGCAGTCATCGCTAAAAAAATTGTGCAAGTCGACTGTACAAACTCTACAGGTCATAAACCAATTACAGAGTAGGAAGTATATCTATTGCAAGTAGGTTTATACGAGGTATATTCAAAAAATGAGGTCTATTTACGTTTCAATCAAACAATATTTATTTATTAAATTGATGGATCTACGTAGCCCGCGAAATTTGAATATTCACCTTTTTTTTTTGAGCAGACCTCATATGCCGCCTTATATCACAGCATGATTTTAAGAAAGTTTGTGAACCTACCTCGAAAAAGTATCAGATTCGCCATGAGAAATGGGAAGTTGATTCGCCGGAGACCAATAATTCGTTTCAGATTTGTTGTCTATGCCGACGTCATGGTTTAAATTTGAGATACTGGCTGAAAGAGAAAAGTGACATCTGTTGGTTAAAGGTGATTCTATTAATCGCAGATTTTGGGATAGTCACAATACTAATTAAATTGAAAAACTCGCAAGTATTGCAAGAAATACCCAAAAGGTTTTTTGCAGAATGGGAATGAAATGTTTTTACATTATCATATATCACTTTCATAACCTATATGAGACAGGCAATGTGTCCGTCTTGGGGTTCTACAAGGTTCTATTCTGAAACAATTGATTTATCTACTGTTTGATAATGATATCACTGGATATCACGAGCGGCCAATATTATCATTTATAATGTGAATGAACCTCATGGAAACCTCCACACTGAATGATCAGCACAAGAAAGAGAAACCATAAATAATATACTGCAGGACTTCAACGTCAATAAGGAAGAAATAAAACATTTCAGATTGGGAAAACCAACAATTAACAGAAATCGACCCATCAAGGTTATTTTCAACTCACAAGATGATGCCAGACATATATTGAAGAATAAACAATTAATAAAAATACCCAGTGTGAAAATATCTAATGACCAAACTCCAAAACAGGAGGAACTAGTAGTAACAGACGTTTCATCTGCTACTGTGGCAAATATCACCACTGAAGATGTCTGCTGCAGTAGCAGACGAAACGTTTGGTATGTAGTACAAATTACTTTCGACCACGCCCTATCAGCCCATATTTTGCTCTTTTTAAGCGTGACTCCGATCATGAAAGTCTATATCCAATGAATTAGTTGTTATTCCATGTTCAAATATGAAACCCAAAATGGTTTTATCCTTGGGACTGGATTCATAATGTCAAAAGATAGCAAACGTTTAATATTAATTCATAACATACAGATGTTTGCACTATTGAATATTTTCACACTGTTGACTTGCCATATATACGGTGTAGGTATGTTATATTGGTGAATAAATTTAAGATTGATGACAGATGATGGAAGCCACGAAATGGACATGCCCAAGTCACATGATCAGTAACCTTGTTCTGATTGGCTCTGGTTATAAAAACATTGCATTTTGTTACAGAACCCTCGCTGCCTATCTACTCAGCTCAATGACTCAGACGTGACTGATGTTATTCGTGCGTCACATTCAAATTACCTAAGGATACTGACCTTTATATTTTCCCATGATATCCTCCAGATCCTTCTTCTTGGCGTTCAGCTGCCTCTGCATGACGATCTTCTGATTGTCACTGATAACCTGGCTGGGTTCCACCCTCCTAACGGCTTGCTTGTTCTTCTTGTTGACCTGCTTGGACGAGCGCGCCTCGCTGCCCGTATCGTTGTCATACCTGAGGACGTTCGAGCCGTTCGAAACGCTGGCTGCCAGCGGGGTCTTCTGCAGGTGCTTGTCTAAAAAGTTTTCGGCCGTTGAACAAATATCAGAAGCGGCGGCTTGGACTTCGGCCGACGAATTCGTGTTTTGCATAATGTTTTCCGTCGTTTTTACTATTTCGAGCATGTCTTTCAGTTTCTTCAGTTGGTCCTTCATCGTTACGATTTTTCGGACTTGCCCGCCTGAAGAGGGGGAAGACGAGGCGAAACACAGAGCTAGATTAATTCGTTATCGAAGTGACTGTCAAGCCGTTAGTGTACGCCATTATAGGAGGGGAGTAGGGAGTGCCAAGCCGTGAATAGTTTTGTTGGAATGAAAAATATTAGCCGATATCTTTCTGGGAGTGAGTTTCCAACAGGAAACAATTTTGACAGTGAATTAAAACACAGACAACAAATCAATCATCAAGATTGACACTTTTAAGGATCTGTCTGTTAAACTGTTTTTCTTTTAAATTATTTATCGTTCCTTCTGAAATCATAAATTTTTTTAATTTACTATGATCTACGACGGTGTAAATGAAGAAAGTTATACAATCTACAATATTTTTACTTGTCGCAAGTTCAAAAAGCTGGTAATATTTTCTTTAAGGTCACATTGATTATCATTTTCAGAAGAACAAATCGTTTTCTCAGGTTAGCACTCTTGTCAAACAGTTTTTAAGAATAATGACATCATTACTGTATATGCTCTGTGTATTTTTGAATGTTTGATGTATTTGCTTAAAAATAGAGAACTTTTTAATCTAAATGCTACAGAACACGAATAAAACACTAGGAGACTCACTGAAAAATCCCCCTATTGTATGGTAATGAAATTTTACAAGTTACCAGTACTTGTTAGACATTCTGCTAGTAGCAATCAATTAAAAAAAAAATATCAAAAAGATGCTTGTAGATCTAGAGCCCTATTGTGTTGAGGATTTTTTAAAACATCAGTTTTGAAATATAATCGTGTGTGGCGTCATTTTATTACATGTTGAAATTATTTTTTATACAAATAATTGTGGCATTTTCTAAAATAAACATTATTATTATTATTATTAAGAATAAAAAGACACATGACACCTTTTTCATATATTTTGTTACTAAAAAATCTATGAAGATGCTTGGCTTTATAAAGAGAACCACCCGTGATTTCACCAACATCACTGCTATTAAATCTCTTTACTTTTCCCTGGTTAGATCTTATCTCGATTATTGTTCCGCAGTTTAGTCCCCTCATTATGTTACACAAAAAGTGAAACTCGAGGCCGTAGAGCACAATTTCCTGCGATATATTGCCTTCAAGATGCGTGTATACTATGACTATACTGCATTGGAATGCATTTTGAACATACCTTCTCTTGAAGATTTAATACTTGTATTCAAAATTATCAACGGACTGAGTATCATCTCCGAGCTTTTCTCCAAAATAACTTTACATGTCCCCAGTCGTTCAACTAGACAGGTGCAAACGTTTTACGTTTCTTTTCATAGATTAATTTATTCATATAACAGCTTTATTCCCAGAACTCTTCAATTGGCTAATTCTTTAAATAACCTTCAAATCAATATATCAGTTTCCCGCTTTAAAAACCAAAATTTTCACCTAGCCATCTAATACTCTCTGCTTGTGTTGTTGTATTGTATCTAGTGCTACTTGCCTGTAAGAATTCTATTAGGAATATATAACGTGTTAGGAATCACACGTTAAAAGGTAAGACCTCGTTAGTCCTTAACTTGCACAAGTTTCTCAAGTATACCAGTGAGGATGACAGTGTTCCATGTAAGTGCAATTTGTTACCATTCATTTTAAGTAGAACTCATGTGAATGATATCTGATTTTATTCCACAACGAATGTTTGAAATACAAACTGAGTAATGAAAAGTATCTTCTGTATAATTCAGTGTTCATATAGTGTTTGTTCATATTGTATTTGTTTCGAAAGAATGTTTGTCTTTCGTGTAATTCACTGTTTATATGAAAGTAGCTGTTTCAGGAGGACTTTCTTTCGGTTTGTGTCTGAAAATTACTTCTTTGCATGATCTACACATCCATGTATAGAGTTTTTTATTTTCAAATTGATTACTTCCTTCCTTTCTTTGGAAGATTCCCTCATTTTTTTTATTGAGATGGAGTAGTAGAAAGTCAAAAACTTTCTTTCCCAAAAATTAATCAGCTGATTAACGGAAAAACATATTTCAAAAGTATTACATACATATATTACATATTGTTATACATTTTAAATTTTTTTAAATAATCTACTTGTAATCTTACTTCGAAATTGTATTATTCTTATAATTAACTTTCAATCCACTGTATTTCATCAAGTACTACATAGCACTGTACTACTTATATCTGCATATCAGAACTACTGGCACAAGTGTATTTTATCTGAAGGGGACTACTTTAAAGGGGACAAATTAAAAATTTTTTGAGAACAATGAAAAATCACCTTATTTTTTGAACAGATCTTGTAGAATGTTTTCATGAGTTGAGTTTGTTCAATTTTCGCTATCTTCAGAAGTATTATTGAGTACATTGCCAAACGAATTCTCAAGCAGGTAATGGGGAATGTTCCTCAATTTGGGTTATTACAGCAAATGCAAGTTTGAACAAAATAAAGTTGAGTTTAATTCATGAGTTTTTCAAATTCACTTCGAAAAGTATTCAAATTGATGTTTCAAATGTTGGGTTTTAATTTTTGAAGGGATTTGTTTCTAATTCACATATTAGCAACAGCACAGTTGAAATAATTTATACGTACCTAGATATTCTACTTTAAAAAAGGAAAATTATCTTTATGAATCAACAGTTAAGGCAAAATATAAGTTATAGTTCAATACCACCTCCACAAGCCACATAAACAACAGTTGTTTTGTTATTTATTTATATAGAGGAAGATAGGTTAGGTGCACAAAATGTCATATGTCACAGAATGTCTCGGAACATAAGTAAACAGAACAGCACGCCTCCGAAATATGTCATCTTTGTTTGTCTCATACAGGTAACAGTTTAATTGTCCTTTATTAGCTATAACCGATGTTGCCAAATGGTGAAATAGAAACGAATCCCTTCAAATGTTGAATGCATTATTTCATTCCTCTTTTTCAAGTATTCAAATAGTTTTTTAAAGAAAAAGTTTGAAATGATAAGTTTGAAATACGTTGTTTTACAACTCTTTTATAAAAACTACTTAATTTTCGTCAGGAGGAACATTCCCCATATTGATACAGGACAAAAGGAGTTTCTGTGAAGCTCAAACAAAAACGCCACTCACCGACATCTCCTTCTTCCGGCTCCCCGAAGCTCTGGAGTTGCGCCACCAGTTGATCGACCTGCGACTTCTTATTCTGCAGTTCGACGAGCTTGTTTTGCAGCTCTGCGTGCTCCGACCTCAGCGCGGCGTCTTGATTGTCCAACGCCTCGATGAGGTGTTCCCTTTCGTTATTTTCGGCGCGCAAGCTCATCATCTGATTGTGCAGGCTTTCGACGCGACTAGTGAACATCTCCTCGGTTTTGTTGTTCGATTCGACCGGCTTCAGTCTTTTCCATCTCTCCTCCAGCTCTCCGATTGCGACGTCGAAGTCGCGGAGGTTTTTGCTGTCTTTGGAGTTTGCGACGCTGTTCGAATCGACTGTCGCTGAAAAAAAAATGTTCATTGTATTATGAAAAATTGAGTTTTTGACAGATGAGTTACTGAATAATTGATGAATACTGAACTCAGAATTTGGACTTTCATTATTAAATTCAATTATAGGTACATAGAATTCCAAAAGTAAAATTTCAAGATAAAAGTAAAAACTTGAAATCAGAATTTTGAAGTACATCGAGATAAAAACAAAATCTCATTCTGGTCTGTTATGAACATTCTTGTTTCTTGGGATTGATAAAGAAGATGGAGTAGTAGAAAGTCAAAAACTTTCTTTCCCAAAAATTAATCAGCTGATTAACGGAAAAACATATTTCAAAAGTATTACATACATATATTTAACATTTCCTGGATAACATTAAAAACATAACTCGACAACGCTAAATTAATATCTTTTGATGTCCAAAATTTATTTCCTAATTGAAGGGGTTATATTTTTTTTTTGGAGTGATTGATTTTTGGGAAGGAAAGTTTTTGGCTTTCTACTACTCCATCTTGATACAAAAAAAGAAGGATGAGGGAATCTTCCAAAGAAAGGAAGGAAGTAACTCTATACATGGATGTGTAGATCATGCAAAGAAGTAACTTTCAGACACAAACTGAAACAAAGTCCTCCTGAAACAGCTACTTTCATATAAACATTGAATTATACGAAAGAAAAAAATTCTTTCGAAACAAATACTTCTAGATGAACACTGAATTATACAGGAGATACTTCTTTTCATGAATGAAGTGTGTGTATTTTCTATAATGTTATCCAATTTGGTACTGAAGAGCCTTAAAGCAAGTGTCGTAAGGCGAAACATCGGTGTATACCAATGAGGATGACAGCGTTCTATGTAAGTGCAATTGGTTACCATTCATTTAAAGTAGAACTCATGTGAATGATATCTAATTTTTATTCCACAACGAATGTTTGAAATACAAACTGAGTAGAGAAAAGTATCTTCTGTATAATTCAGTGTTCATATAGAAGTATTTGTTTCGAAAGAATTTTTTTCTTTCGTATAATTCAACGTTTATATGAAAGTAGCTGTTTCAGGAGGACTTTCTTTCAGTTTGTGTCTGAAAGTTACTCCTTTGCATGATCTACACATCCATGTATAGAGTCACTTCCTTCCTTTCTTTGGAAGATTCCCTCATCCTTCTTTTTTTGTATCAAGATGGAGTAGTAGAAAGCCAAAAACTTTCTTTCCTAATATTCTGCCATTAGAAACAATTGGGTTAGTTGAGATATTTTTATACAGAAACCACGTAAATCCAATATTAAAACGGGAAATTTTAGATTTGCTAAAGATTCGCCTAGCTCAGAATTATTTTCTATTCAATGACAATTTTTACTCTTGGGAGATACTCAAAATATATTTCCTAGTACTCCGCCAATAGAAACAACTGGGTTAGTTGAGATGCTTGATGCATGATCACGCGCCTTTGCTTTAGAAATGTTTCTAATTGCTTTTTTTTGTGTAATCAAGATGCTTTGCAAGACATTATTATTGCATATTCCCCAAAATGGGGAGCCTTGTTAATGTATGGTATACTTCTTTTGCAGCACAGGATCCCAGTTCCTGCGATACCATTTTTACAGCAAAACAACCAGAGACTAGTTTTTTATTCAAGTTCTTTGCATGCTCTTCAAATTTCAAATTATCATCAATGAACACCCCCAGGAACTTAGTGTTGTTACGGCTCTCTATGTAACCCTTATCCAGTTCGATTTTACCAAGATCACACTTGAGTATATTGGTTTTTGAAACGTTAAGGGCGAGGAGATTAGAGACACATCAACTTTTACTTTTTTTATATCACAGTTTATTTTTCTTTCCTGGTCAATTGTATGTTTGTCATGCCATGAAATAGTGGTGTCATCAGCAAAAATTGTAAATTTACCCAATATATCTATTCTCATCAAATCATTAATGTATAACAAAAAAAAAGGATGGGGCCCATTATGGGCCCTTGTGGTACACCACAGTTAACCAGTGCTTGATCAGAAACGGATGAAGTTTTAACCATTTGTGTGCCATTAGTCAGGTAGGATTCTTTCAAATTGTTTACTACTCCTCTGAAGCTATAATGGTGAAGTTTAGCCGGTAGTAGTTGATGATCAACACAGTCAAAAGCTTTGCTCTAAATGTCGTTATTTCCTATTAAAATTAAAATACATATACACAGAGATGCACAGATCAAAATAAAATAAATAAATATATACAAAATTATCATGCACATGTAAACCTACAAGAGATGTAGTACATGTATTATTCATTTAGAAAATCTTCTATTGAATAGAAACATTTTTCTATTAGGACATTTTTCTATTAGGACATTTTTCAGCCAGATGGAGAATTCATTCGAGTGTTTCTTTTTTGCATAGTCTGGAATTTTATTATATAATTTTGCGCCCCAATAATCGCATCCTTGCTGTGTTTTCTTCAATCGATGAAGAGGAACTTGCAGTAAATCTTTATTTCTGGTATCATAAGAATGATTGAGTACATTTTTTGAGAACATCTCTGGATTTGCGTGAACATATTTTAGACAACTATATATTGCACTGGGAATGGTGAGGATTCTTTGTTGACGAAAAGCCTCTTTGCAGCTATCTCTATATGCAAGTCCGCATAGAATTCTGATGGCTTTTTTTTGCTGAACAAATATTTTGTTTGAATCTGAACTTGTGCCCCACAAAAGGATTCCGTAAGTTGCTATGCTGTGAAAGTTTGAAAAATAGGTTATTTTAGCCGCTTGACGTGTTGAAATTGTTTTCATTCTCCTTTTACAATATATTGCTGAATTAAGCTTCTTACTCATTTTGCTTATTTGTACCTTCCAATTTAATTTTGAGTCCAGATGTATTCCAAGGAATTTTAGTGATTTTTCCTCTGTATTGTTTTTGCTTGAAATCATTAGCCTTTGAGTTTTTTCTTTGTTTAGCAGGAGTATATATTTTGAATGAAAAGTGTTTTTTAAAATATTGTTCTTGTATGTGGGTGAAGGTATTTCTAACCTATGAATACAGCCAATTTTTTCAGGTAACCACAAATCGTTTATAGAGTTTTATCTATCCTTACGCTTACCTTGAAGTAGATTGCTTTGAATCTGCCTTGCACTTCTCAGTTTATACTCCGCTTTCTGCTGGAGTCGCATGAGAGACAACTGCTGCTCCTTCAGAGCATCCATTTCGTGATTTGGATTGTCCAAATTGACATCGATGTTGTTTCCCATTGTCGAAGCAGTGCTGTGCAACGACAGCTCCTCCGTACCATTCTCTATCGCCTACAAAACGAGAGTTCAAACCAAAAACCGCAGGAAGACAGAAAATTTCAATACTGGATATAATAATGTCAAAAGCGAAAATAAAATAATTGTTTCATAATTCACACATTGACAAAATCACACAAGAATGGAACACCGTAGTTAATAAGCATGGTTTCAAACGGCAAACTGTATTTTTTCAAAAAGCTTTGGTGTAGGCAGTTTATAATCTTGACCATTTTTATGAATTGACCTTTTTGGGATTTTTTCACCTTGCATATTCTGAAAATGAAATGAAATTGGAGAGGAAGCCTCGTTTATCTTTGATATTTGAGGATTAAGTTCTCGGTCGATCCCACAGATGGCGTTGTCGTTTGGGGAGGGATCAACGCCCTTACTTAAAATTGTATAGCTTCATGCAGGTGTCTAGTTTATCCCGATGAGTTCCTGCGTAAATATAATTTATTCTTTACAAAAAATGTGCTGTTTACGAGTAACTTATTGTATAAATTGAAAGGGGTATATGAGGTATGTTTAAAAAACAAGGTGAATTTTCATTTCTCTCAAAAAATATTTATCTATTCATCAATTTCTATTTTGTCCCCTTCACAGTAGTCTCCCTCAGATATAATACATTTGCGCCAGTGTTTTTTCCAATCCTCCAAGCAGTTGTGATATGCACTTCTTGGTATGTCTTTGAGCTCTCTCGGAGATTCTCAATTGTCGCAAAACGCCATCTTTTCATAGGTCTCTTCAATCCTGGGAACAAGAAAGAGTCGCAAGGGAGCCAAATCTGGTGAATACAGTGGCTAAGGCATGATTAAGGTGTTGCTAAGATGGCTTTTTCTTCCAGTTTGTGTCTGATAGTTTCTTCTTTGCATGATCTACACATCTTTGTAAATAGTTCATTCAGAAATTGAGTGCTTTTTTGCTTGCTTTGGAAGTTTGCCACATGTTTGTGTATAACTTATTGTATTTCATAATTCTGCCTTTCAAAAAGAGAAATTTGCAGATACCGATTTTAAATACATGATTACATATACCATAATAAATAATGTGAATATTTAGGAAAGATCATGAGACAAGTGTACAAATGCAAGCAAAATAAAAACAATAATCTACGATACACTTTAAAATCTGGGATACACATCAGACCATTGGAAAGTCGACCTTAGGAACCCTATAGGCTACCTAGCTTGCTTCAAAGTATGTGTAACTACTTGGAAATTTCGAAAATAAAATGAATAGAGAAGTAAAGCTGCAAGATATAGTTGATTTTTTAATTCTGAAGACAGAGTCACACTTTGGCCACCTAAACTTTAGGATAAGGATTTATAAAGTTTATATTTCTTTTATGACAGGCGAAATTATCAAGCAGGACAAGGTAATAATAAACCGGAATTTTTCTTTGTGAAAAATACATCAAATTTATGCAGTAATTCATCAGGGTGAATCAGAAACTTAAAGTTTCCCATTATATATATTTTTTCAGAATGTGGAAGGTGAAGATGCCCAAAAAGATCAGTAACTCCTCCACAGAACATGACTTTTGATGAAAACTTTGTTATTCGTTTCAACCAAAAATATTTTCCAATAAATAGACAATTCACACTCGTGTTACGATTATAACAAGCAAACAAAAAACTCTTCAATCTCGTATTAGTATCAAATGCAATCAAAGTGTTAATATGCCCATTTCAAACGTCACACGACCGTCACCTGTTCGCTATTCGCGCCATCCCCGGCGTTCATTTGGTCCAGAATACAGACTAACTTTGTTTCGCTGTCTTTCAAGTCACTCATCACTTTCTCCAAGCTTTCTATTTCGGAAAAATCGGGGCTCTGCTCGTAAGGCAAATTTGCAATCTTGTGGTTAATAAAATAAGAGAAAATTCGACGTTCTGCAGGTTAGGAATTTTTCATTGAATCTTGTACGTACATTACTTATAATCTTCACTTAATTTATTTCAAATTGCACTGCAAAATATAATTTGTAAATGTTCAATTGGTCTTCTCAATCAAAACAGCTTTTCTATGTTCTCTAGGTCGTTTATAAAAAGTTCTCCCTGTTTGACCAATACAAAGTTCGGGACAAGAACCAAAATTCAACATATTACGAGTATATATACTCATAATCCATCTGACACTGAAGTTTTGTCTTCAGTTCTCACAATGAACTTGCAGTACCGTCATCATGAATCCACAACAATCACAACTCTCTTTTCATAAACTACACCTCACGATTTGTTCTCCACAAACTTATAAAAAACTATGGAAACAAGCTGTGAGCCAGGTCTACCCTACTTCAATAAACAATAATAAGCATCGTAGGATTTTGGTAACCCCATCAATAACATCGCGCATTTTTTGAGAACTACAGACAAAACTTCATATTGGCCAAACTGGGAGAACTTTTTCCCAAAGCATTAAAGAGAATAGAAGTAGTCTCTTGAATGGAAAGGTCAATTCCACATTTGCAAACCATCATTTAGCAGAAGGACAAGAATTCAATCAAGACTGAATTGTTACCTAGGTGGTTTTATTACATGTAGTTGTTAGTGCGTATATGAGAAGAACTATTTTAAATTTAGGACAGTAGTAAGAAACATCTCTGAAGAAGTTATTGTATTGTGAAACACGTGTTGCAGTTTTGCAAAATGGTATAGTTATGAATGAAGTATATCAAATATTAACATCCAGAGGTATACCAGGAAAAATCTGTGGAATTTAGATCTAAGAAAAGAGCAAGCTGATCAAAGTATTATTACAGTTCAATAGCAAGGTGATTGATTCTGTAATCCACTTGAATGTTTCTCCATGTTTTTCACTTCAAAATAAATGGAATGAGTTTAAGTTGAGACAGTTACCTATAAACTTCTCTAACCTGCAGAATGGAGTTCAAAAACGGAGTAACTGAGATTTCACAAATGAACTTACATGTTCATCGGTATTCCTCATGCTGGTCATTAAAGAATTTGTAATTTTCAAGTATTCACGAATCTGCTCCAGCCTCTGCTCTACCTGCTTCTTATCAGGATATTTCGTTATGTTGTCGCATTTCAGAGTTGATCCAGATGAGTTTCTCCTGGAATTCGATGAACTCGTGTTTGTGGATGTTTCATTAGCTACGATTAGAAAAACACTTTCAATCTGAAATGCTTTGCCGAGAACCTGGAGCGTTCAATAAACTGATAGGTTCCGAAAAATATTTAGAGGTTTGAGTTAGCTTCGGGCACTAACAAATTGAAACCCATTTCACAACTCACCGATCATGTTCTGGACACTGGGTAGATAACCTTCTGGAGCGTTCTCCATAGTGAAATAGTTATTCTGCTGTTGATTCCTTCTGCGATTCCTAAAGATGTTATACTGGTCAGGAGGGTGGTGCCCATACGCAGTCTAAAAAGAAACTAGTCAGTGCCAACAGCAAAACTCCTGGCTGTTATTATTTTTAGACCGTTGAGCGAAACAAGGAACCTATTAATAACTCTATAGACACACACTCACTAGATTGTTGGCATGGGTGGTGGACCTTTCTGCTATGTTAGGGGAAGAGGAAACATTGTAAGGTTTTATTTTTGGCACTGTTCCAGTGCTTTGTTTATTTTTCGTCCTGCGATCGCCTGGCATTTTTTAAATATGTGCTGAGATGACCCTAAAACATTATTTTTTTGTTAAATAGTTTTGGTTTTTAGATGGTGTCTGCCTATTAGCGAACGGCCAATATTTTTTCTACAGTGTAGAAAAATACCGACAGCTAAAATGTTGATCAACAAAAAAAGAACTGATAAATGAACGAGAGAGAGAGAGAAACTTTCTTCTTATTCTTCTTTTTTCCCTGACCTTTTTTGCCAGACCTACAATGACTAGATAATTACAATCTATATCTATGTTATATATTGTCTGCAATACGGAAGTCCATCTAAAAAACAGTACTTTCCCAAATTCACAACATAACAAATCAAAACACAATTAACTTCAAAATAATGAAGATGTTTCACACTCAACCGTACGGTTGAGTGTGTCATTCAGTGTTGAACAAACTAATACCCAAAGATACCTATTGTCTTTGAACCCTATTTTGGTTAACTGAGTTGGTATCGTCAGACTTAGTCGCGCATCGAGAAACATTATTTTTGTTCAGGTGTGAGATTCCAATTTTTATCTATCTACTTTGCCTTCAACTATTGATTTTGTTAGAATAACCAACGTAATATTTCGTATAAATTGCAATACAAAATGACATTTTGATATGTTCGTTTTCCTTGAAATTTACAGCGATATCTTTTGGTGATTGCTCCCTCGAATACTATCAGAAAAATATTCTAAGGAAAAATTTCAAGCGATTGTTTTTGCTAATACCCTAATCGGTTAAAATTTTTGCGCGACAGTGTTTTCAATAGATTTTCACCACTCTTCTTTGGTATTTATTATTGAATTACTCTGAATACAAGTTGTTGAAAAATCTCAAGGATATATGAAATAATCTGTGAGTACTGTGACAAAAAATACATCGGTTAGACTAAGCGAGCTATTAAATCACGTATCAAAGAACACGCAGCACATATCTGGTTCCTGAGACCAGAAAAATCTGGTGTCACTAACGCTTCAAATACAGAAAACGAAAAAATAATAAATATAAACTACTTTTTCACATTCAGGTACTCTGATCGACTGTTTATCGTTCAAGTAGCGCCACCATCGGTAAAAAATATTCCCTATTGTCAATAGGATAACTCATGGAATCACATAACATACTTTATTTATATTGGCTTTGGAACAGATGCCTGAGATAGTTTATCAAAACTTTCTCAATAACAATTAGCTATTCTGACAACTGACGTAACGTAATGTCAAATTCCGTTTCAAAACCAAAGGCGTTTTTTGGCGCTTATGTATTCAAAAAGCATTCGTCTGTAATTCAAATACATTCATTCTGGCGTTGAAACGATGACGTTACATCAACTATGATTTGAAACGTATTCATGATGATCCTTAGACAATGGCGCAGTAGTGGCTTCGAAAAACTATATAAAATTCGAATAAGTTCAAATATTGAATGAACCATACCCATTGAAAAAAGTATGGACACAAAATGAAGGAGGACTAGCTCTTCTCTGAACGATAATGCTGCACTACCTATAGAACAGTATAGGCTGTTCACGTTAAGAAGAGAATGACGTCATTTTTGGTAGTTTTGTATATCTAAGATAACAACGTTAAAATTCCCACTGAAATACGTTCAACAGCAATGAAACTAATAACATTTCATTTTGTAAATTGCTCAACTGATAGTAAAATTTCAGACGTCAAATCGAAAAAAACTCGAAAACTGTCTTTCTTTTCCTCTCAGAACTAATCATTTCTATTGATAAGACCTGCGTATATTCAATATGCCTAAAGCATTGTCGAAATAATCCCAACAAATAATAAAAGTAAGTAAGGATAATAGGAATAAAACATATCAACAGTACAAAAAAATTTGAAAGTTCGAAATAGTGCACATTTTGGCAACGCCGCAACTTGTCATCTTGTGACGTCATTCTCTTCTTAACGTGAACAACCTATAAGAACATGAAATAGCACATACAAATAGAGTATTTCAGTGACATTGAAAATTTGATAGTTACCAACAATTAAGTAAGTGACGCTAGAATAATTTGGTACTGACTGACTAGGGGAAAAGAGCTGGTCATTATAGCGCCATCTTATGGAGGTTGGGACCATTAAAAACACTAAGGAGTGTCTACAAAACCGGCAACTTCAAATCAATTCAAGAGTGACTATGAAATCGTCAAAGTTTCAAATAACTGTGGAAATCACCGCCAGGGGAAAAATGAAGGTCACTATTAGATTTCTTGTCGAAAAAGTCTTGATCTTCAAAGGTAAATATTCTGTCCCTTTGAACATTTTGCCCACTGATCATGAATCTGTTTCAAGGGCGAAAGTTAACATGGCAATAAAAGAAATGATTTCTCAATGGAAACTTTTGTGTTGATCAAAAAATAAGAAGTCACAGAACTATATTATATTACAAAATCCACTAAACATTAGAGAAATTTAACCTGAACTACATTTCGCTATAAAACAGTGTCCTTACAATCAAGTAACTGCCAAAAAAAATTTCCACGTCATTTACTCCGTACTTTTGAGAATCTTCTCGTCAGAGGTATTCCCCTGACCGTCGGGAGCCGGCCGACAGTCTGAAAAATCCGTGATCAAACTGGTATCGCTGGTTGCAGTGAGGGGTGTCTCTGTTTTAGGGCTGTCCGTAGTTTCGATATACGCGGATTCGGCATACAGCTGCTGGAACTTGACAGGGTTGAACCCCAAGGACGACTGGATGTTGGGGCGTGACGAGCAATCCAACTCCTTCAAGATGGCTTCTGTGTCAATGTTCGTTCCGCTGTTCTCCTTGCTGAAGGAACATCCCGAAACGTAACGATTGCTGAACGTGTTGTTCACGTCAACTGACAACAGGGTCAGTTTCTCCAGGAGGGTGTTGATGTGTTTCTTACCTTCTATTAGTTGGCGGTCTAGAGATATTTCTTTGAATGGCTCTGGAAAGGTAAAAGTCCTTGAAAAAATATGTCGAAGGATTTCAAAATATAATAACAAACTCAATTAGACTTGAATGATTGAATGTACATAGTGTAGAAAACAAAGAACATTTGAAATTCTCAGGTTTATTTTCAGCTTTTTTTCACAAGTTTTATATACTTCAGTTGTATCAAAAGAAGTGATATTGTCACAAATATTTTTTTTCTTGAATGAGAACTATAATCCAGGAGAATCTCAAAACTATTGACAGAAAATAAAAACTCTGGTCCCAAGATGAACCCATAAATGAAAATTTGTGAACCACATCACTTTAGAATGTATAAATGTCATTTCATAAAAAATAAAGGATAGAGAAAATAACTTTTGTATAACTTCTACCAATATTTTCATTTGTTACGACCAGTTTTGGTTTATTAAACCATTTTCAAGTAAACTGACACAGTTTGACAAACAAATCCTTAAATTTACAATAATATAGTCAATTTAGGTGCTTGGTGTAGTAATGAATATTAATGGAATTTTTTCCAAACACCGAACCGTTATTTCAACACCTTGACACGTGTTTCGATCACCAAGTGATCATCTTCAAGATCTTTCTCTTGAAGTTGTATATAATAAAAACAGTTATTAGTTTCAACAAGCATGTTTAATTAAATATCCAAACGCACGCCACTGCATGTGGCGAACCCACATAAAATTTTTCGTTTGCAATACAAAAATAGGGCGGAACCAGTCAATTATTATAGAACCGGTTATACCAGCTGTGGCAAATCATAAAAAAATCACAAAATTTTGTTTTAGTTTAGCCTTTGGTATTTATTACTTTTTTTTATTAAGAAACATCTAAATAAATAATAATTATGGTAAACTGATAAGAAATCTTAAAAGTTCAGTGTAAAGGCTGTCGAGAACAAAAAACTCTGCCTATATTATTGGAAATAATATAATAGTGAATTAGTCCAATGGCTACTAGTTGAAAAAACCACGTCTAAACCAATGCTTGTTCTAATTCGTCATGATAAGTTTCTGTCTGCATTTTTAATTATCTTGAAAACATACTGAATGTGCCTTTTATTAGAAGATACAAAGGTTCAGCAATCTTCAGATCACGTCGATGAATTTTAGTATATCTTTAGTAATCTTTGTCCAATTATTCTTTCCCGACTTGGTTGATACAAAGTATCAGAGTGGTGAGTTACATCATAATACTGTGGTGTGTACATATACGGTATTTCAAAGTTTAAAATTTTTGAAATGTCAAATACTGATACGGGTGAAGAAACTGCTAAGTTGTGTCTCTACACTCGACCTAAAAAATTTTCATATTCCCAGTCGCACATAAAAAAAATCGGTCGTTCCTTAGTGCGACTCTGTACAAGCAGCCTTGTCTGGGAGATCACGTGCACTATGTATGATAATGTTTTGCGCAGAAACAATTATAAATCTGATGGAATGAATGCAATTGTCTTTCGTTAAAACAATTTATTTTTCTTTTTATTATATTTCTAGTGTGTAAGAAATTTTCAACTTCAATCTTACTTATAATACGTAGAATCATTTGTTACAGATGTCAATAATGCTGCAACTCATTTTGATTGAAAAACATAATCACAAAACAAATATATCAAACTTGAGTATATATATACATATAAATTAATCTGGAAAAAAAATACCTTCTAAAAATAAAATATCACTCTATTCATCATCATCATCATCGCTTTCTATCACCCTACTCCTTTTAACAGGTTTCCCAGAATCAGAATCGGGCGATCTGACCCTTTTCTGAATAGAACCAACATCTTCATCGCTGTCCGATTCCAGAACATTCATATTCTTTCCAGCAACAGTATCACCATTGATAACATTAGCAGTCTCTTTGGTCCCTTCATCTTCACTATCGGTCTCAATACTGTTTTTGGGATTCACAGCAGACTGACTAGAGCGCTTTTGTCCTGGTTCTTCATCACTTTCCGACAGAATATTCTTACTGGTGCTGGGGAGGCTTTTGTCGAGAGGTTCCTGATCCTCGATGATATTCGACCCAGGATGTTCATCTTCGCTCTCACTTAAGTTTTTAGTGATTCTCTTCCTGGCACCCTTATATTTTGATACCTCTGGACGATCATCAACTGGTTCATTGGAGCTATCTTTCGCCGCTTGCTGCCCCTTATTTCTGTTCAGCACCTCCAGATAATCCTCTTCAGACTCGCTGCCTCCAGGGCCAGTTGCAGACCCATTTTCCTGAACCTCGAGAGTACCATCCAGAGCCCCTTGAATTAGTTCACACAAGCCTGTTAAAACATCCACAGGTATATCTCCTGGAATCCTCCAGTAAGCCTCCTGTTCGACGAAAGGTTCGCTTACACCGAAACCCTTCAACAACTTCTGGAAAGCTTCATGCTCCATCGCAGCTACCGCGTAGTCCATAATGGGTACTAGGGGGATCCCAACATCATTTCCGTCTTCGTAGTCTTCAATAGCATCAGATAAGCTGTCTTTGAGCCACTCCAGGGCTTCTTGGTGCTGATGTTCAACATTCTCCAGCAGCAACTTGGCTAGTTCCGATCTAGGAGCTCTGACTGGGGGGCTTTTCTTCTTAACCTTGGCGGATTTTTTACTGGGACGCTTGACGGGGTTTTTAGCAAGCCTAGGAACTGAACGTGTAGAATCATCAGACCCCGCCTCACTGTCTGAAGACCCCTCGGAGCTCTGGCCTCCCTGCACGTTTGATTTCCTCTTCCCGGACTTGGCTCTCTTCTTGCGCAGCTCTTTCTTATCCTGCACCAATCCCATGACGAGCAGCTTCTCCACTACTCTATTCTTTGGCCTGACTATCTCCAATCTGGACATGATGCACCCCAAAGGGTCCATGGCGTCTTTGAACTCCTCATAGAGCTCCCGCAGTTGCGCCTCTTCCTCTGCGCCCCAGTTCTGCGGAGGTTTCATCCTCCCCACAGACTTTTTCTTTGGCTTGTAGTTGGCGAGGAGGTACAGTTCCTTGAGCTTCTTCAGGACAATCCTTCTGGACTTGGTGTTGTCTATGAGGTTGCTACAAATCCAATCGACGACATCTTCTTCGACTTGATTTTGCTGGTGCTCCATGAAAAGCCGACGTAGCTCGTCTTCCTCTTCTTCGGACCAAGTTTTGCTGGCCGTTGAAGTCTTTTCGAACGTGCCATACCCGTTTTCGATCTCATATGCCTCTCTTTTTGCTGTCCAGAATACAGCCTCAAGGAAAACCAGCTCGTTCTTCTCAGCGACTTTGAAGAACTGTCTGAGGATGTAAGTAGCAAATTTGATAAGCTCCTTGTGCTGGGGCGCATCCTTCAACGACATAATTTTCTGGAAAGTGCGGAAAATACTCAGCTGGAAGACCATCACATACATTTTGCAATCGAATGCTATTCGGTGCAGTAGTTTGAGGATGCAGTGGTTTGTGTTGACGGAATTTGTCTCGAATGTTCTTAGTGCTAGACCACAGGCTTTGATTATTTTCGGGTGAGGGAGTCTCTTTATAAAATCATCGAAATTGAAATCAGTCTCGGAATATCTAGGTCCTCCCTCCTCCTCCTCTTCGTCATCATCTTCACTGTCATCGGAATTCTGTTGAGGAGGAGGAGGTTCAACGTTCCCTAATTCGGCGAAGAATATTTCTCTGAGAGCTAGAAACTCCTCCTCCGGAGTTATGGTACTGCTGCCGAAACTGTCGTTCTCCGGCCAGACCTCTCTAGCGGCTCGGATCAGGCCTATGGCGCTTTCGAATTCCCTGTCTCTCAACTTGGCTTGGATTTTTTTCATAGCATCCACCTAGAAGGGAACTCATTTACTCGTAAGTTAATGCTGTTTGTCAATATCTTTAGAACTACAAAGACAAGTGGTGTATAGTAGACGCCAACTAAAATGAGTCAGCGCAGAAACGTAAAATCGTTCTGTGTTGAAAGACTCCGGCCACTCAAGTTATATTTCGCATTGTCAGTAGCACAAAAGCCAGAAGAAGAATAGTCTTGCTAGGTGTTAAGTAATAAGTTGAGCTGTGAGTGAAGTTATCAAGTTGATAAGCCATCTTGTTTAGATTGAAAGGGTTATATTTTTAGGAGATTCCCACATTTTTTTGTATCAAGATGGAGCAGTAGAAAGCCAAAAAATTTCTTTCCCAAAAATTAATGAGCCAATGTTACAACTTTCAATTGAGTGAGAAAGTTGAGATTGATGCTTTTGAAGATGTTCATCCTGTCATATTAAGGTTAGGAGATGATTCAAGCGACGAAAGTAACTTTTCTTCATCTTCAGAGGAAAAAAATTAAGCATCAAATTTTTTAGGATTCACCATAATTTTGTATTGTTTTCAATGTTACTTTATTCTTACATTGTATTTTACTGTTTTGTGTATGTTCTATAAATGCAATTAAATATAGGGAGTTCCATAAGAAAAAATATAACTCCATTTTGATACAAAAAAAAAGGATGAGGGAATCTTCCAAATTGCACTTACATGGAACACTGTCATCCTCACTGGTATACATCGATGTATATTCCACAACCAATGTTTGAAATACAAACTGAGTAGAGAAAAGTATCTTCTGTATAATTCAGTGTTCATATAAAAGTATTTGTTTCGAAAGACTTTTTTTCTTTCGTGTAATTCAATGTTTATATGAAAGTAGCTGTTTCGGGAGGACTTTCTTTCAGTTTGTGTCTGAAAGTTACTTCTTTGCATGATCTACACATCCATGTATAGAGTTACTTATTTTCAAATTGATTGATTACTTCCTTCCTTTCTTTGGAAGATTCCCTCTTTTTTTTTTATCAAAATTCATTATAGTAACTTTTTCCTGTAACGGAAGAGGTTTGGGACACCCTGTAGATCTGTTAGTGACCAATGTATTGACGACCAATAAACTGAGTTTATTTTATATACACAATAATTTGTTATTTTTTTTCGATGCCACTGTACTACTGACATCAGTTTGTGTGACCAATACACGGGGCGGGTACAATTTGGTTTAAAAGCGCATCAAAATCTCATCTCAGTTGGCGTGGACTATACCAATCAATTCAAACATTTCTTCTGGATTTTGACAATTTATTTAAGATATTTCAAAACTAGCCCATCGAGGTAACTTTCAACTGTGAGAACCTTGTGGGGTACACCGTGAATCCAGAGAATTTAGGAAGTTGTAACAAATCCGCTTAATGTGAGTTTATGGTTCTAAATCAATTCAATAGATTTCCTGATTGGTTTCAATCAAGTTTGTTGTCCACAATTCCAAATTGACTTCAAATTGAGAGTGAAACATAGCAAACAGGAGACGACAGAAATATATTACAAGAAAATTTTCCCGTGCTAATTATAGTGCAGTCTTATCTCATATACGAAGGTAATCTGAAAAGTTTCATCGTCTTTCAAGCTCTTACTGTCACGTTCAAATTCAGTTGTCTAAAATTTCACTGTGATGAATTATGATCCAACTCATCTTTCACTTTCGTAGGCGTTTTGCCCTTCAAAAACAAATATTCAATGACAACTTGATACTCGATTTCAGACCATATGTTAAAGTAAGTTAAAGTGTTAAAGTAGACCAGGTAGCATATTTAAAGTAAACAACATAAAGTACTAAATCGAAATAACTTCAAACAAAAATTACAACAGCTGATAAACAGCCACGATATAAATAGTTTAGAAAAACTATCAACAGCCATACAGGTTTGTAAAAAAGAATCAACAACTCAATATGAAATAAAATATAAAGAAGGTAAGGATCGGATTACAAGGGAATTTCTAGAATTGATAAAAAACCGTGATGAATTATATTCAGAAAAAATAAAACATCCAAATATTGTAGAAAAAAAACGTAAAAAACTGAAACAGGAATACTTTGAAAAGAAATGGAGCAATACAGGCAATAACCAGAAAAAGCAATGGAAACTCATCAATAATCTTATTAAAGGCAATAACCAAAGTAATCAAATAACTAATTTGGAAATTGAGGGACAAATTCTTGATGATCCCAAAAATATAGCTGAAAAAATGAACAAATATTTCGTTGATATTGGTAAATCAATAATGAATAGTGTAAACCTGCAAACAGCGTCATCCACTGAGTTTGAGGAAATCATAAGTGATTGTTCAATGTACCTATACAATACGAACTGCCAAGAAGTTCAGGAAAAATTATATAAGTTGAATAAAAATGCAGCACCTGGTTATGATAACATAAATACTAACGATCTTTTAACACTCAGGGATTATATTATACCTATTTTGGTCAAATTAATAAATGAATCTTTCAAACAAGGTATATTCCCAGATATTCTCAAAGCCAGCAAGGTAACACCTATACACAAGTCAGGAACAAATAACATTATTGATAACTATAGACCTATTTCAGTAGTTCCGACTCTGTCAAAAGTAATAGAAGTTATTTTAAAGAAACGTATTATCAATTACATTGATATGCTCTCTCTTTACTAAAAACATACCTTCTAGATCGCAAACAGTTCACAATGGTTGATGGCATTTCAAGCCAAACTGAAATTACCAAAGCAGGTGTGCCCCAAGGCTCAGTCCTTGGACCCCTACTCTATACATTACATGTTCTGTCATTGAAAACGGCTAACATTATAAGTAGATACTTTAAATACCGACCTTGAAAGGTATCACAGATGGCTTGCAAAAAATAAACTTCAGATCAATGTAAAGAAGACTACTTTTAAAATCTTCTCTCAGAAAAACATGAAACAACAGGACATCACAGTGGAGATAGGAGGCAAAGAAATAACCAGAGTCCATAATACCAAATATCTGGGATTAATAGTTGATGAAAACCTTTGCTGGAATAACCATATCACCCATGTAGAAAAAAAAAGTAATTCCAATGGTTAGTGTCCTATATCGTTGTAGAACCTACTTACGCCCATCTTCACTCCATCAAATATACAGTGCATATTTCTTATCAATTTCAAGCTATTTAATTCCTATATGGGGTACATGTGGACAGACATTATTCAAAAAAGTAAAAATACTTCAAAACAAAGTCGTGAAAATGTTATTCAGGCTTGACTACAGAACCTCAGCTGATACTTTATACAGTGTAACCAAGATACTGCCTATTCAGGATGTTCTAGAAATCGAGCAAGGTAAATTTGCATACAAGGTTATACATGAACAAGTCAAATGTAATACCAACTTCACTTTCNATGAAGTCTTTCAGTTTGTAACACAAATTTCGATATTGTCTTTTGAAAATAATTCCGATCAGCTGATAAACGCCAAAGTAACTAGTAAAGATACAATCAAGCGAATGCCAAGTTTACTTGAAAATGGTTTAACAAATTGAAACCGGTCGTAACAAAATCTATGCAGTTTCATGAAACCAGCAAGATGTTCCTTGTTTGCAGATGATACGACTTCATTATGCTCTAGCAAAAACGCGAGATAGCAAAACATTAGTATTTAATTGGTTTGCTGCTAATAAGCTGACACTGAATGAAAATCAAACTCAAAATATAATTGTATCTTCCAATCTCAATATTCAACTTTCAAGGATTTTAGGGTTTGTCATTGATTATAGACTGAGCTGCTCTGATCATATCAAAGCTGTGACGTGCAAACTTTCTAATGTTTTGTTCGTTCTGAGACAATTAAATAATGTTGGTCAGCTTGCTTGACGACGCTCAAAAGATCCTACTATGGATTATTTCACTCAGTTATATCAAATGATATTCTGATTTGGAGTCATTCAAATAATTCCATTAGGTGCCAGAAGGCCGACAATATCAAAACTGTCAATGGCAATAAGATTTTCATTAATCCATTCTCTATAAATATACGTTTTTCTCAAAAAATACATTTGCAATAGTCATTTTTGGGCTTCCTCTTATCGGTATCAAAGTTCAGCGAGTCGAGCTTGTTGAGGGGTTTGTGGTAGATCAGTTCGTTGTCACTGATGGACTTCATGGACTTGACAACAAATGTTCCTCCGAATCTCGAATGCCTTGTGCCGGCATATATCTTGGTTTTTTGCTGCTTCTGGGTGGTTTCTCGATGTCTTATAGCTAGTAGCTCCGCCTCGTCTCGTATCTTCTCACTCTGGCTACGTACTAGAGCTGCGTTAGCAAGATCAGAAGGTTTCTGCTCCCGCAGCAGAAAAAATATAATTTCCAAGATATACATATAGTAAGCTTGTTCGTCTGCGGAACTGGTCATGAAGAGAATGATGTCCAACATACCTGACTTTTGCAGAGCCCATACTACCTGATCATGTAGGCTTGCATCGTTATCAGGTCTTCGCTCCGAGGCGTCAGCTGGAACGAACAAAACATTCCGTACAAGAATCAATATCCTCTCGATTTTCACTCCGTTCTCTTCACCCCTTTCAGCGTTATCGACTTCCAGTATCTTGCTCAACCTTGTGCTCAAGACTGCCCAAACTCCCTCTTCCGTGAAAGCTTCCTTGTAAGATTTCAAGTGGTCCTCCACTTGCATGTAAAAGTTACGGGTGCTTTTTTCTTTCGGTACCTCAAAATTCCAGAGCAGCAACGGCGGAGTGGTTAGGTTCATGATCAACCTTAGGAGCACGTCGAATAGGTCGTCCTCTTCGTGATAGCTTTTTAGAAGGGGGAGTAGATCGGTTTGCAACACTTTGATTTGTCCCAGTTGTCTACGAATGTCGTGGTTTTCATCGTCTCTTCGTAAATAGCGGACGAGATCTTTTACCGTTTCTAAGCTGTTGGAATCGGCGAAATATTTATTTTGTGCGGCGTCGAAATAACCGAGTGCACTGCATGTGGCTGCTATTTCAGCAGATAGTAGCGAAGACATTTTTTTTCAGTCAGAAGTTTGTTTTCACTAGATGACTTAAAAAATCAATGAAAACACTTCACATACTTCCCTTCATGTTCTCAACATTTCTTTTGAACAATCAATTATTACTTCAGGCAGCGAATGTATTAGTATATCATATTAAAATATGAAGAATAACAAAAACAAATAGGTTAAAATTTGGTTAGAGCATCAAATTTCGCGCCATAAATCATGAAGCTTTCACAGCGTTGTCAAATCACGAATCTAGGTAGTTTTTATAGGCACAGAACGATTTAAACTCACAGCGCTTGTTAACTTGAAAAAATATATAAAACTCATAACAAACGGCGACTTTTCAATGTATTTGCTTGGGAGGCAAAGTACATAAAAATGCTGATCAAGCATGAGAAAAATGTCATAGGAAGGCGAATCAACTAGAAAGAGGGTTACGGAGAATTTTTACAAAAATAAAAACTGTTCAGAGATAACAATGAAGTCTTTCAGTTTTTAACACAAATTTCGATATTGTCTTTTGAAAATAATTCCGATCAGCTGATAAACGCCAAAATAACTAGTAAAGATATAATCAAGTGAATGCCAAGTTTACTTGAAAATGGTTTAACAAATTGAAACCGGTCGTAACAAATAGAAACTAGACAAAAATCATTTTCTTTATCCTATATTCAATATGAATTTCTACAAAATAAATATGTCATCAATCGAACAAGTTGAACACTTTATTTCTGAATCACAAAATATGTTAGTTCAGAGAGGATAGTACTTCCAATGAAGCCATTACCGAATTAAGAGACAGAAAAAATGTACATTTTGAATCGACAAGTTTCTAGGTTGCTGCAAAAATTTATTAAAAATAGTATTTGCTTTAAATTTTCATAAGTTCTGTGAACAAATCTTCGTCTCATGAGATCAGTTTGGCTTTGAGATTGTTGGTGCTGCAAATGCAGTGACAAACCAGATCAATCTAGTCTTTGTAAGCACATACTCTGTTGAACATGCGTATAAATACATTTCCAATGTAAATATGTATTACGATTTACGAAACAATGTTTCCCCGAAACTTTAGAGGTTTAATTTTGAAACTAAATGTAGTGTTCGTGAATATACTTATAGAATTTGTGAAATCCATAAGTAATGACTCTGTTGGCTACAGACGCTAGAGCTCTCTCAAACACAGAACACATAAAACATAGCCATTGCCACAGAACCAAAATCTCAGATTGGAAGATTAGTAGTTTGCAGCGTTGCCAAATACAATATTTTTTCTTTGACTCGAATACTTTTTTTTCCAGTTGCTTATTCAAGCCTCATAAGTCGATTTTTCGCAATAAATACAAAAACAGTATATTGTACTCACCGCCATCTTCCTTCACGGACTGTCCTCCGACGGATTCTTCCGTAGACATACCACACGCGCTCTCCAAACTACAGTTGGACTCAGCTCCTTTATCATTTTCCATCTCCATCAAACTATCCTCGTCGTTATGGCCCGCAGCCTTCAGCAGAGAGCTCAAATCCCCCTCGGGGCCTTTCCCCTCGCTTGTCTCCCCAACGTCCCTCCCCAAACTCAACTTCCGAGCCTCCTCTTCAAAATCCACCAAGTCGAAGTCCTCTTCGACGCAGAGGGTGTTGATGTCCCTTTCGAATTCGTCAGTGAATCCGTTGCTAGAGTCTGAGTCGTCGTTTGTGACGGTCGAAAGTCGAGATCGCAGTCTCTGCGTTATTTCGTCCAGTTCGGTGAATTTTCTCTTGAGGACCCTTGACAACGACTCAGGCGGTTCGTCTGGGAAGAGAGCTTCAGCGACTGATTCAAAGTTATCCGGGACGAACTCTAGATCTAGGTAGCGGGTTTTTATGGTTTTGTATTTCGTCAAGTCGTCTAGAGGCGTGACGTGAATCTATAAAGATAAGTTGCAAATGTGCTATATGGGTTTTGTCAATACAATAAAGCAAAACTAGAAAAAATTCTCAGGAATACCACAATGATATGCCTCCTCTGTCGTAAATTCGAGTATAAAGTCGAAATTTCTAGTTTGAAGTCGTAATTTCGCATTTTAATAAGTTATTTGGAGTTTGCACTCGTAAATTCGAGTTGGAAGTCGAAATTGAAATTAAAATTTCGAGATTGAATAAGAAAATTCGAGTTCAAAGTCATAATTTCTGGTTTCAAGTCGTAATTTTGAATTTTATGTCGTAATTTATAGTTTTAAGTCGCAATTTCGAAATTAAAGTTGTAATTTGGTGTTTCAAGTCATAATTTTATAATTTGGAGTTTACAGTCGTTATTTGGAGTTTAAAGTCGTAATTTGGTGTTTTAAATCGCAATTTGGAGTTGAAAGTCGTGAATTTGGAGTTCAAAGTTGTATTTTTGAGTTAATAGTCGCAATTTTGAGTTAAAAGTCGCAATTTCGAGTTTTCAGTCGTGAATTCGAGTTCAAAGTCGAAATTAAAATCGAAACTCCGATATTGAATCATTAAATTGAGTTTAAATTTGTAAGTTCTAGTTTAACGTTATAATTTGGAGTTTACAGTCGTTATTTGGAATTTAAAGTCGTAATTTGGTGTTTTAAATCGCAATTTGGAGTTGAAAGTCGTGAATTTGGAGTTCAAAGTTGTATTTTTGAGTTAAAAGTTGTATTTTTGAGTTAAAAGTCGCAATTTCGAGTTTTCAGTCGGGAATTCGAGTTCAAAGTCGAAATTAAAATCGAAACTCCGATATTGAATCAGAAAAATTGAGTTTAAATTCTAGTTTAACTTTATAATTTGGAGTTTACAGTCGTTATTTGGAGTTTAAAGTCGTAATTTGGTGTTTTAAATCGTAATTTGGTGTTTTAAATCGCAATTTGGAGTTGAAAGTCGTGAATTTGGAGTTCAAAGTTGTATTTTTGAGTTAAAAGTCGCAATTTCGAGTTTTCAGTCGTGAATTCCAGTTCAAAGTGGGAACATAACAGAATAGATAGACCTAGGATTATTTGATATGTTCATCTTCAAATGATTTATGTAATTGTTGTAACAGTTTTGAGGGATCAATTTACATTTGATTTCTCAGGCAAGAAAACGCGGTATAACTTCTTCAAGCCTGGATTGTTCAAATTGTTTTCGTTCACCATTCATTTCATTTAGTTTGCATTATTCCTACTCACATTGATTTGACCATGACATTTCCCTGAAAAGTCGACGATATTAAACCATCCTTGAACATTGGAAAATCCCGACAGGAGTACGGTCAAATCTACCGCAGCAAAACCCAGAACAGTATCGACTTGCATGTTGGGAGAACTTGCTGTGTTGTAGTTCCGCCTCCACACTTTGAATATCAAGCGTTTCTGACTCTAAAATAAAATCGAATGTGAAACGAACGTTCCGGACCAAGTACAAATTTGTGCACTCACATTTGTTAGTAAATCCACTGGCAGCAAGACGTCCTGTTTGAAATTCCAAGTGGGACTCGTACTGTTGGGAACGGTTGGGGTAACTTTAATCCCTTGGTCAGATATTGTTTCGAAACTAACGTAGCAGCTGGGAAGGATGCTGTCTTCGTTCTTGGAGCATCTGCTGCGAGACTTTCTCGATTTGCATTTTTTTCTGCTGGGTAGGTGATTGGCACTGTTTATCCCAATCGTTGCCTTGAAAGACTCTGAAACAAATTACTCTGATAAACATTTCACAATAGGAGGAGTAGAAATATTTCTGCAATTGTATTTTTCATGAATCTTTGTCTGAAAGGTTTTATATTTGTGTCCTGAAATAGGTGTTCATTTGAAAAATTAGGTATTATATTAAGGACCCTTAAAAAAATGAATGAGGAATAATTTAAGGAGAGATTTTTTTTTTGTGAAAACATTTTTGGTTTTCCACTTCTCTATCATTGAATAAAAAATATGGGAAACTTCCAAATAAATTTCGTTCAATGATGGAGAAGCAGAATACACTGAATTAAATATACAGAAGATACTTTTCTCTACTCAGTTTGTATTTCAAACATTCGTTGTGGAATAAAAATCAGGTATCATTCACATGAGTTCTACTTTAAATGAATGGTAACAAATTGCACTTGCATGGAACACTGTCATCCTCACTGGTATACATCGATGTTTCGACTTAAGACACTTGCCCTAAGGCTCTTCAGTACCAAATTGGATAACATTATAGGAAATACATACAATTTATTCATGAATTACGATTTTTTATGTCGCAGAATAAACTTGATCTGCTTATGTCATCGATGACATCGTAATGTCATTCATTCACCTATTTGATTTAATCCCAGCCAAGAGGAATCTTATTTGAATTGAAGGGGTTATATTTTTGGGAAAGAAAGTTTTTGGCTGTTTAGCTGTTTCAGGACTTTCTTTCAGTTTGTGTCTGAAAGTTACTTCTTTGCATGATCTACACATCCATGTATAGAATTACTCATTTTCAAATTGATTACTTCCTTCCTATCTTTGGAAGATTCCCTCATCCATTTTTTGTATCAAGATGGAGTAATAGAAAGCCAAAAACTTTCTTTCCCAAAAATTAATCACTCCTAAAAATATAACCCCTTCAATTCAAATACTAATCGTCTTTATTATTTCCAAATTCAAAAGAATACTATAAATATTAGATTCAAAAGTTTACACATGGAAATAAAGAATATATTCTTCCATTTAACCCTAAAAACGGAACCCACCTGGCGAGGAATTTGCAGGTTTAGTGCCGTTATCTAAAGACAGGGCCTTCTGAAGCGAATCAAGCAAATCTGAAGTCTTCTTGAGCCCAACATTAGTCTTACTCTGTGCTTCCTCTAGCTGCGAGTTACTTTTATCTACTTCTCGTACTGTTTCTGTATTCGTGCTGTTCTCCACGCAGACGTTTCGTTGCCTGACCCTCATCAGCTCCTCGAAGATGGAACCCATCATGTTGCTAGCGGAATTGGACAAGTTTGGGACACCTCTATCCATGTTGTCGTTGGATTGCGTTGCGGCGTCGGACTTTTTCGTACGCTCAACACAAGTGTTGGTAGATTTTTCTTTGTAAACTGGCAGGATCCTTTCAGATTTTTTGAACGTAGTTGAAGGCCTCGCGATAGGTTTGTCAAAATAGCTTTTCGGGCGATTGAGAGATTTTGAATCAAGTTTGGGATCAGGAAAATTCGCTTTGACGAAATTGCTCGGGAAGCCCCGATCAGATTTCAGATTGTTGATTTGTTCTTCGGTTCCGACAGCTGTTAACAGTTGAACTTGGCCTCTCAATTCGTCGTTGTATGGGGAGAAAATGGGCTGCCACCAATCTGTCCCGATTACCGGTAACTGAAAAAAAATAGATTTTTTTATAATAAGAACTGTCTTTGTCATCAAAATAGCCATCAACTGTCAACATCACTTCCTTATCATTGCCAAACAAATATTAAACAACGCGTGTTGAAACTTGAAACATATGCTTGATAAATTGTGTACTTTCTAATACAGTCACATTTTTCCAACAACTACCGCCATCTCTAGGCCAGGCCGGGTACTTCTGTGGCCACCTTTTGTGTGAGAGTAGCACTTATGTCATCCAATACATCAGTGTATAAATTATGGTTCAAATTCACTTCTAGAAAAATGTCAAAGGTTGGCAATGAGAAAATACTGCAGATTTTACTATTCCTGAGAAATCAGAACTCATTATTGAATGTAGCTGTTTAAAATATCATTGGATGAAATAACAAAATGAATGTATCAATGCGGAGACGAGAGTGAAGACTTTCCCATACCCTCCAAATAAGAAAACTATCAAACAATGTGAAAACAATTCAGAGAGAAGAATAAAGGTGTATGTTTACAATGGGGAATGTTCCTCAATTTGGGTTATTACAGCAAATGCAAGTTTGAACAAAATAAAGTTGAGTTTCATTCATTAATTTTTCAAATTCACTTCGAAAAGTATTCAAATTGATGTTTCAAATGTTGGGTTTTAATTTTTAAAGGGATTTGTTTCTAATTCACATATTGGCAACAGCGCCTATATCAAGTTGAAATAATTTATACGTACCTTGATATTCTACTTTAAAAAAGGAAAATTACCTTTATAAATCAACAATTAAGGCAAAATATGAATTATAGTTCAATACTACCTCCACAAGCCACATAAACATAAATATTTAAAAATGAATTAGTTTTAGGTAGTGCAACTGATTAACGAGGTCTTACCTTTCAACATGCGATTCACAGTACAGGTTGGACGATAGGCAGTGAAAATCGATCGTTTCCATTATATCAAATTGACTCGAGTAATTATTTGAATATTGATTTTTTTTATTGGGGATCACTTACCTGATGGAAATTGAAAGTAGGATTCGATGTATTTACAACAACTTGACTGACTGACGTTTCCGTTTGAGAAAATGGTCGACAAGTGATAAAAGAACTTACAGGTCCACTCAAATACTGGGCTTCAGATACGTAGAAGAAACTGAAGAGCACATACCTCTAAAAAACGTTTAGAAATAACTGAAATGGAAACATTTGTTGCACTACGTACATCTACTTCTTGAGACTTTTGTGTTTCGGCGATTTCGGCACTAACTTTTTTCTCGCTAGCCAAAACCCTTTTTGAAGAATTCCTTTCAGTTGTTTCGACCTGTATCGAGTTTGGAGGTTTTCTTTCTAAAACACAGCTCGGAAGAGATCCATGGTCCGGTCTTCTAGAAGTATTTTCTTTCGAAGTATGTTTGGATGAATTCGAACTCGAATAGTCAGTGTGCTTTCCAAAAGAACGAATGTTTTTTTCAGGTTCAGGTTTTGAATGACCAAAACTCCCATTCAGCAGGTGGTTGGTACTATCATCACTATCTAGTAAGACAGTTTCCTTATTACTAGATGTAACTGCCTCTGAAATGTTCAAAAATGAAATGCAATGTGAAACAAATTTTTAAAAAACACATTTTCACTTTTTTTCTAAGTAAGACTCAATAAATAACATTATGAGAGGAGTTAAAAAATGTTTTTGCAAATATCATTATCTATAAATGTGATTGAAATGACAATCTTCATGGTATTTATAAAATATATTTTGAAATTACTACAGCACTACTGATACTGAGAATTCGCTTCGGAATTTTGAATATTCCACTTTCGGAAAGCAATTTTCGAAGAGAACTGATTTTCATAAAACATTTTGCTGTCAACAACGGTTACGAGGTGGATATTATTGACTGGATCCTTTCTAAGAATTGCACAAAAGAGCTCCAAACCAGATCTATCCGGTTTCAAAGAATAATACTCAGCATTATGTAACTCTAACTTACTTTCATGATCCTACTAATAATATCGCTCATTTTTTAAAAGGCAAAGAATTGGACGTATTGTACAGAACAAATCATATTTTATAAAAAACAATAACGATGAAACTCCAATGTCGGGTAGATCAAGAGTATACAAGTTGACTTAGAATAGAATAGAATATTTTTATAGGTTTCACAATATCAACAGTTTAAGTTTTCAGAGACAAATACAATAAATACAACATTCTAAAGAGTACATTTCATTTCAAATCTACTGATAAGAAATTCATCGTAGCTGTAGAAGGCTTTGTTTGTTGAATAATTTTTCAATACAATCTTCAGTTTATTTGTTTTAAGATCCCTGATCTGGCAAAGTAGTTTGTTGTAGAATTCTGGAGCATAATAAAGTGAAGCATTCCTAGATTTATATAGTCTAAGATTATTCTTTCTTATATTGTCTCTTTTTGCTTTGCTTTGAGTTTTGTATTGACTTATATTTTCACGCATACAGACAATGCATTTGTAAATGTATCTTGATGGAATGGTCATGATTTTGAGATTAATAAATTTTTGTCTGACATCAGCACGATACCACATGTTGGAAAGTATAAACTGATTAAATGAGAGCTTGGAAAATCATCTCACAAACTTTCTGGTCCACTACTGATTTAAGATTTTTCAGAAGGTAAATGCTTTTTTTTATTAACTTTACTGGCTATATAATTTACATGACAGTCAAACTTCAGTGTGGGGTCCAGGTATACTCCCAAAAACTTTGCTGATTCTGGATTTTTATATACATAATTCTGATAGGTGGAGAAAATAATTGATTCACTTTTGCTACCATTTAGATTCAGCCGTTCCAAAGTGAACCAGTCTGATGCCTTGGACATTGTAATGGCCATACTATCCTTTAAAGATTTGTAAAATTCGTATCTTCAGCGTACTAGGGAGCTATGAGCTAAGGCATATTATGTAAATTAGGAACAATAGTGGACCTAGAATTGAGCCTTGGGGTACACCGTGTCTGTTGATTCTTTCTTCTGAGAGTGCCACCGCAAGATGATACTTGTCTTCTATCTTTCAGGTAACTTGAGATCAGTTCCAAATTGATTCCATTGAGGGCATATAATTCAAGTTTTTTCAGTGATATTTCATGAGATACACAGTCAAAGGCCTTTGACAGGTCACAGAAAGTAGATTCCACAATTTTACCACTTTCAAAGCTGCTATTATAATTTCACATAGATCATTGACTGCTATTGCGGTTGATTTGCCAATTTTAAAGCTGAATTGTTCGTTTATCAACAGGCTGTTTCCTTTAAAGAAATCCTGTAGCAGAGTTGTGTTTCTTGTCCAAAATGTTATATCGGACAAACCGGAAGAACTTTTTCCAAAAGAATAAAAGAGCATAGAAGTTTTTTGAATGGAAAGACCAATTCAACATTCCCGAATCAGTTTTTTGACAGTTTTGGCAGTGTAACACGAGTTCAATGAGGATTATGACGTATTGCATTTGGAAGAGAAAAGTTCAAAACTCCACCTTTTAGAATGTTCAGAAATCAATGGATGTAAACATTCGTGATTATTGCTGAACGACGAAATTGATTTGAATTGTTCTTCTTTATGGAATTTATATTGCAACAAGTTGTTGTAAATAGCTTAAGTAATGAATTTGTCACACAGAAATTTGGCAGTTTGTAATATTTACACAATGATTTGAATTACTATAAAAGCACGACACAGAATTTGTACAAACATCATTGTGACGCCTGATGATGCTACTGTATAGCGAAACATTGCAAACATTCAAGTGAAACTCTCACATTAAAGTCAGTTTTTTGAAAACCCACGTACTTTTCCTAGTAAAAAATATAAATGTCTTGTGCAAGAAACAACGTAATAAACTGTGGTTTGCTTATTTAGATAATGAATTTAACATACCTATGAATTCTTGTCCGAAATACAATCTACCGCAACCCAACTGCAGTGATAGTTTTAGCACGCCTACCGCGATTGGAGAGTTTTCGTTCAGAAAAACTACCAAACCTCTCGAACAAGACAGGTTTTTTGTTAAAAGGAATTCTTTCAAATCAAACTTGGCATAACCTAACACGACCGAACTTTTTTGTTTGCAGTTTCTGAAACTCACTTTGAAATCTATTTCACAATTTTCCAAGTCGACTTTATCCAAAGATTTGATATCGTGGATCGTAACTTGTTTGAAATTGATAACGTTGCTAGTTTTTCTTGACGAAAGTCTAACGTGGTTGGTTTCTAGCCCGGAGTCAACTTTTGATTTGTGCTTAGCACTAGTTACTAGAATTTCAGGTACTTTGTATTCTGAAAAGAGGTGGACATTCATTTTATTGACTCGTGCTAGTTTTTGGAAAAAAAATTAAGTAGACTGAGGTTGAAACTTGGCGCTCCAGTCTTTAGGAGATATGATTACTCAAAAGCCAAAAACTACTGTTTTCGAAACTCACTATCAGTAACAAAAACTTTTTTAATAATGACAATCTTTATTTTACTACTAACCATTAGTTATTAGAAGTAAGAAGGTAGCATACAATTAAAAAATTGAGAAAATTACGAAAACCTATACATATTAAAACTATATTTGAAGTATATGAACATAACATATTAATATAATAATAATAGTAATATGAACAGACCTATTAATTATTAAAAAATTCGGCTAGTGTATACTAACAACTTTGTAACAGATATACTTTCAGTGTTTGTTTAAAATTATAGTTGCTTTGAAGCCTTCACATATTCTGGAAGATGATTTTCTCAAAATAATATCTTTCCAGCCAACTTCATCATCTACTATTATATGAATCAGCTCAATTTGGACTCACAAGAAATGATCTTTCCTTGTCACAGATTTTCCTTGAAAACCGGTCTCAGTATGTTATTCTATCACATCTTGATGGAAATAACTGAAAACTATTTTTCACTTGCCACGACCACAAATAATTAGGTGAACCTCAGGGTCCCGTGTTAGGCCCGGTACGGTTTCTTTATATATTAACGACCTTGAGAAATTTATTGAAAACCAAAAATTCACGTTTCATGAAAATGACACCACTGCCTTAAAACCAGCTGAGGATGCTTTTGAGGAAATGAATAATTGAACACTGTAAATAATAACTTGTATCTTAATTCCATAACACAATTTTTATGCTTCCACAAAAATCTTGTGTAGATATTTTTATCAACGAAATATTAGTTGAATCGGAGTACAGGTGATGGGTAGAGCTTCTGGGACTACAGGTTGAGACTAAGCTTGACTGGTCTACAGAAAAATGTAGGAATCTTCGAGTCATTTTCTGAAAATTGATTGCTTTCTTTATTTTTTTGAAACAGTCCCAATTTTTTTGAATCAAAATGGGAGAAGAAAGCCATAAACTTTCTTTCCTAAAAAATAACCTCACCTAAAAATATAACCCTTTCAATTTGGAAATAAAGTATTCTGTGAAGCTGTAGGGTGTCTCTTAACAAGTTTTCATTACTGAAAGTGAATTCCTGAGAAGATTTCATCTACAAAATTAGATTGCAGTGTTTTTACTTCAGAGTCGTGCTCAGCAGACAAATGTACGTAAGTCTAATTAATTTTTTTTCAAAAACTAGCATGGTCAGTTGAAAAAAATTACCTAAGAAAAAATTAGAGCTGCTTTTACAAGGCACTTTACTGTTAACTGTAGACAATATTTTTTGATTTCCGATATCATTCAAAATGAGATTGTTGATGGCTATCTTTAGAGAGTCTACGAATTTCAGAGTCTGAACGCCACAAGCTTTGTACTTTCCTGGAATGTTTTCAGTTACCTCGTGTTGCGGTGGTGACTGAAACTCCATCTCCTTTTGACTGTTCAACTTTGAATCACACGATAAATATTTTGAATTATACACTTTGCATATATAACATTTACAGCCACCGATATTTGTGGATTTGAGAGTTCTTTCTGTAGTTTCACACAAATCAGGAGCTGACAGAGACCGCAAAGTGTCCAATGCCAGTTTTTCCTCCTCTTTCGACATACAATCCCCCTTGATGAAGGCTTCTAAGCGTTTGTCATTCAAAGGTATCACGTTTTCTGTTTTTGTATTGTTCGACAACTCTGATCTACTACTCCGAGGAGTATTGTAATGGTTATTAATTAGAATTTCGGTACTGAAAGGATCGTTTTTCAGAATTGATCCTATCATGGCATTTCTCAATTTTTGTCCTTGTTCCAGGATCTTTTCAACTAGATTGCTGTCTACAATTTTCATATTGCTATTTGTAAAGGACATGCTTACGATTATTCAAGTACAGAAATGTTTAAAAAACTAACAAGTAATGAAATAAGTTTAAATTTGATTAAATTTGTTGGCATATTTGTATAACATATACTTACAAAAACAAATATCAAAAATTGAACTGTCAATTTGTCTAGAGTCAACTGTCAAACTGTCAACCGTTATGATGATTTGTTCGTTTGATAAATGATTCATAACATATCTATTCCCTATTGCTCGATATTCAAATAAAATAATTTTTGTAAAAATTAACGTTATATCTTGGTACAAAGTGAAGGATATTAGATATTGTTATGTAAAAATATTACTGATACCCCATCATTGACAAATATAAAATAGAAATGGAACTATTGGAAATGTGATTAACTAATAACAAAAATAGGTATGTAAACTATTGAAGTACTTTTTACATTTTTAAATAAGGAATGTACATTTAAAATGATTCAATAATGACTTCATTATAGGCCAAATTTTTACTTCGAGAAAGAAATGAAATGAAATTGGCCGATGCTTGATGAAAATCCATAACGTATTGAAGTAATACTTTCTTGGATATATCACAATAAATATCTGTCAGTAACACTACAAGATGAATATTATCGATTCCATTACTTCTGAAAAGCATTAAAAAGAAGCTAATAACCAGGTGTGCGGTCTCACTTCAAGGAACAATAATAAGCGTCATAAGAACATCGACATATTTTGGTGAACCTACTAATAATATAAAATCGTTTGTTTTCCGAAAAGGAAAAACTTGGACAAATGATGAAAACCTTTTCCAGAGAATGAAAAAACATAGAAGTAGTTTCTTGAATAATAAGACCAATTCCACTATCTTTTGACAGAGGGGCATGAGTTCTAGCACGACTATGAAGTATTGCATATATGGAAGATAATGTTCTGAAATTAGATAATAATAATAATTTTCATTCCCAAAATAATACATTAAATACAATAAAAAATAAATACAGTTCATTGTATGATTTTCACTATAAGGGTTTTACAAAAACCGCTATACGTGTTTCGCTATACAATAGCTTCTTCAAGCATAAAGCGTTTATCATACAATAAACTGTATTGATTAGTTTTTTGATATGGATTTTCATCAAGTATCGGCCAGTTCTATTCAAATACAATAAATGAAATGTTTGAAATGTTTAGAAACCGATACATTCATATGATTCAAAGTGGTATTGCATGAATTCCAGAGAAAATCTCACAATAAAGTGTTAAGAAAGTTGTAACCACACTTAAGTACCGAATTGAAGTGTGATTTTGATGTAAAATTGACACCAGGTCAGAGAGTTCAATGTTGTATATGTAATGATAATGTATAAACATCGTTTGTAGTTTATAGTAATACTTACCAGTCCCACAGACAGAATGCCTGGTTAGGTTCATATAAGCTTGCTTTGAAGGCCCTAATCTGCCACAGTGGGATGAAGCATTCAACTTCGAGTGGGCATTATTGCTATACGAAGAAAACTTGCTCCATATACTACTAATAGAATCAACTGCTCATCTGCTTAAGACGGATGCTGTCTTTAGATGTTAGTGATCATTAGTCTCACCACAGAACTGTAATTTCTGTATTTGGTTATATCTGTGGTTCTGTGATTGTCACCTCTTTATATTTTTTGGATATTCCCCATTTTTTCAGTCTTTCTTCCAAAGCCACAGAGGTTGGAGGTGTATGTGCCTGTGGCTTTGGAACAACGATTCATTTCAGGACTCAGGTAAGACATTTGTGAATCATATACCTATTTTCTATTCATAATTCCACCCATTGAAAATTTGTTTTAATATGGAGCACTTTTAGAAATAGAAATATAGACCTAACTAAATAACAAGTTGATAGTTTGAATTTTTTTCAATTTATAAAGATGTTCATGAGATTATTTGGTTTCATCTTGTTTAGTGAACTAGTACTAGGCCTATGGGCAGATTATTGGTTTAATGAGTAATTATTGTTGATTTGAGTTGGTTTCATTTTGGTAACGAGTAACAAGGTCACTCTGTCTTGACCTCCACCCCATTTTTAACCTTGATAGTTTGAAGAGCGAGAAAAACCTTTTATCCTGTAGCCAATAAGAAAGCCCCAGACTATCAGCTATTTAAGATAAAAATAAGATAATTCCTTTGTATTGAAATGATAATAATCGATGATAACTGTTGCCATGAAAGTACAGATATTAGTAATATCTGAATTCTATATTTGGAAACCCTTGAGATTTCCAGATGAAATTATAAACTTGTGAAAGTATAAATTCAAAGTACATGATATACTGAAGTGGATACTTTTTGAGTTGGATTTTATTGGTACTAATTTCATTTTTAAGTAATTTGAAATAATTTTTGAGGATATGAAAATATTTTGAATCGTTTGGTTCATGAAGCAGCAGTTCATTAGTTTGACAAGTATAATTTTTCTCTTACAGAAGGAATTAACAGTTAAAATGGGAGTTAATCCATAATTTTTGAAATATTGTTAATGACTGGACTGATGATGATTATGGAAGGAAAGAAATTTCTTTGAAGCAATATTTTGAGATTGCACGGAATTTTATCGATAGAGATTGTACGAGGGACAGAAATAATCTACCCTTAACTTTTGACTGAAGCTAGATATAAAGGTCAGACAAGAGCAACTCAAAAATTCATCATTTTCACCTATATTAAATCACAGCAAAGTTCCATTGTAATATTCATCAAGATTGTAGTACGCTTTAGTTGCAAGGGCATCTTTAACAAGATTTCTGAACTTTTTATAGCTTTTTTCCTTCCTAATTTCGTAAGGTATGTGATTATACTGCTTTTTACTTTCATAAAATAAAGAATACTTTGTGTTTGGCTTGTTTTTGGAACAGGAAGATGTATTTTATTTTCTGTTACTTACCGGGTTATGTAATTTATATGTTCTGGAGTTCTAATCTATGATCAGCGCACGTTGTATGTTTTTTGCCCAAAGAGTACAAACGCGCTGTATTTTTATCTAGACTGAGGTGACTTTGGACTTTTTCACCCCACAATGAACCACCTTGATCATGAAATAGAGTCATTATTGAATACCTCCTCTATTTTTTGTTTCAGGTTCCAAATATTGAGCCACCAACAACTAAATCTTCCTTTACGAGTTTCTTGGTTGCCTCGGACAAAAGCGGCCTAGGCGAGGGCCAGGTCCCTTCGGGGACCCAGGAATGTGGGAGACTCTCTTCTTGTTCACGTTCACGCGTCATCAAGTTGAGGATGGTATCCCCACACCTCTCTAGTTTAAAACCTCTTGTAAAAATCATTACCTAAAGAAAAAACAACTTGTACCCAAATTTAAAAAAATCCAGTCGAGGAGTTTTTTCTGTGGCATGATTTGATCTGACACAGCCGGACGGTGTGAACTGTAGTTTTGGTTGTCTGGTATCACAATTTTTGGGCCGCTAAGACTCATTTCACTGGATAGTCCTGGAATTAATTTGTTTTTTTATTATTATTTATTTTCGTTCATTGATCCTTTTGGAACTCTAGGTATAGTCACTATACTCCAGTCTCATAGCAAATATCCGAACGTAGCTCTACAGTGGACTTTTTTGTTCTAGTTTTGACTAAAATATAATATCGAGAGGCAGGAGACAGTGGTTAGTTTAGAAAGAAGGATAAGTATTTCGATACATTGTTTTACATATTGTGTTACCTTTACAAAAGTGTATTTAAAATAAACTGATTCACAATGAATTTAACTATTGTCGGAATGAATATAACTATTATTAACTATTGTCTCTTTCCTCAGATAAACAACCCGATGTCTATAGGTTTGTTGTGGTTCTCAGTTAGTTGGTTGTCTCTGGTTAGTACTGTTTCGAATGGCCCAAAATCAGTGTGGACTGGAAAGCTTAACGCGACAAAATGTTCAGTATTCAGTTGGGAGACTGTTAGGAACAGCCCGGACAGAGAACCAGAACAAACCTTATGTTTTACCACAGAATACTTTTCAGAAGAGACACTCAACTGTCGACTCTTTGATGTTGACAGGTTAAGTTTCTGTGACCTTTATTCTGTGTTCGAGATGTTTTATGTTATTTTTAGCGGTAAATTCAAATTATTTGAAACTTATCATATATATAACTTGATTGCACTCGAGAAATTATTACAATATCATCTCGGCAGGTTGTTAAGCCAACATTTTAACAATTTTACCATGTTTAAGTTTACCAACCACATAATTCCTCTTCTGTATTGAGCGTTCCTTCTGTGAGGTATTCTGTGGTGTGTCACCCCTTTCCTCAAAAAACTTCATATTAAAGGATAAGTAGGATATAAACATTACTGTAGTAGGCATGGGTAATACGTAAATGGGCATCAAAGCAACTCAATATATTTTATTGCTTTGAAGTTCTGTCATGTAATACCTTACATAATTGACATCACAGATATAATAGTTTGAGCAATTTGGACAAAAATTTTCTATTTTGGAGGGTTGTAATAATTTCCTTTCAGATCGAGTGGTTGTTTTTGAAATATTTGCCAAAAATTGAAATAAAAAAACTAATTAATACAGTTTATTATCTGATTTTCACTATAAAGGGATCTACAAAAACCGCGACACATAAAATATACTGTATAAGTTTTTTTAATATGGATTTTCAAGTATCGGCCAGTTCTATGATCAAATTTCGTTTTTATGCTCTACCGCCTCCGTTTCGAAAAAAAAGCAGAGAAAGTTTCAATACCGTCACGTATTTGTTATAAACTGATGTAATAAATCGATTTGCAATGCGACGTTTCGTTCATTAGATTTCATCAACTTATGAACAGTATGTTCACAAAATCACAACACGTGTTTCATTGTACAATACCTGTCGCCCGAGGAAGCTACTGCATAGCGAAACACGTGTTGCCGTTTTGTAACAAGTAACACTTGTTGTTATTGGAACACATGAATATTTTCAATAAATTCAAGATAATTTAGAATCCCCGGAGAACATATAATTTTTGGTAAACAAATTCTTACAAATCAGATTTGTATATCTAGCTGACAAACAAATTTTGAATTTTAATGGTAACTTCACTTCTTAACTTGTTAAATAACCCAGTAAGTAATAAAACACGCATTCCAAAACCAGAAGTGGCTTCATTTTATTGCCAAAATACAAATTCAACAATAGAAACAATGCCAAAAACAAAAAAAAATCTATTTACGCCCAATTGAAGTGATTTCAACTTCCAAGATCCAAATAGTAAAAAAAAGACCAACAGTTCTTCAACACCCATTTTCAAGGCGAGATTCGTGGTTCTATAAAAATCTCCTTCTATACAAATGCGACAAGAACATTGAAGTTGGAACCACATCACTTGGGCATAGGATCATGTAAACAAAACATTCACTTATAAACCCTAATCCAGTCATTATAAAATCAAATATAAATTAAAACCTAACCGTGCATTTACAAAAGTTGCAGATGATGTATCACAGGACACCAAACTGTGCATTTGAACGTGAAACATTCAATTTTACCAGTCAGGGAACTGGGAGAAAGCAGACACCCGTGTCTGAAAGTATATGCAGCAGAACTATTACTCCATAACTGAAAAATTCGAGGAATGTCACTGGCCCAACAAAAAAGAGAAACCATGTTATGTTCTTTAACTGATACGTAAGTAACAATGATGTCACAAATATGTAATGTCGATATCACAAATACGTAATTATTGAAACTTTATATCTCAAACTCAATTGGCTAGTTTGCTAAACTCAAATTGAGTTCAGCAAATTACGCAAATCAAGTTGATGTGCTGCTATTACATGAATACACAAGAAACATAAACTGGTTTGCCACAAAAATCTCAAATCAATTACTTTTTATACTAGAAAACTTAAAGGGAGATGACGAAAGATGTAACATATTAGAAATGGTTATTCAACAAAATTACAAATGAGTATCAACCCCAATAATCATACATATATTACACCATTGTCACAATTACATAACTACTAAAATGAATAATTTCTTCTGTATTGATATTTTCAATGTGTTATGGCATAATATGTAAATTTAACATCAATATCACATATTTGTAACAACAATGCCACATCAGTGATACAAAATTATAACAAATATATAACAATTGAAGAAATAGGAATTGATAGTAAAAACTATTTCAGCAGGTAAACGTTACGTGCATGTAACAGTTGGGTAATATTGTTACTTGAATGTTACATGCTGGTAACATCAAATACCTTCAATCAGACAGATCTCTGTTGAAAAATTCTAAGGAGTTTCCATTGATACTGTTTTTTTTTTAAATATATTTTCTCATTTTTACAGATTACAAAAAGTTATTCTAACTTAACCTAACCTCTTCCTTTCTTAGAACCAACACAAGTTATGCTAATAATTTCGATAATACAGGACGAAGATTAATAGAAAAAAAAGCCATCAGTAACTTTTAGATTTTTCACTGTTGAGGTGGTGTTTGTAAAGGCATAGGGGCCAATTTGCAGGTGAATTTCACAATCGACAAAATAATCTGGAAAAGAAAAACATGTGGAACTTGCATTTGAAACCATAATATAAGCAGAAGTATATTCTACATTGAACTCGACTTACTGTTCGAATGAAAGACGGCATATTCGGTTTGGAAGCAGTGCTTTCAGAGAGCATTCTTAGTTCGCGGAACATGTTCCTGGTGTAGGGGTTTCGTCTCGAGTTGTATCTCTGAACTAAGAAGTGGTAGTAGATGAAAGGTGTTAGAAGGGTAGCTCTGCCCCTGGAATATTCAAAATATTACTTTTACTTCAATTCACACTCCTTTCAATGGTGTTATTACATTATCTACAAACATGGTAATTATTTCATACATACTTATACTTTATTTTATATATCTGAGGGGGACTACTTCATAGGGGACAAAATAGAAACTGGTATTCACCTCATTTATTTAAGAGACCTTGTATATGACATTCTAATTTATAAAGACAAGATTCCATTGTTTGCTTACATATTATTTTCAATATTCAATAGTTCAATTTGTTTTTGTTCTTGCGACTCGAATAAGCAACATAATTTTTTAAACTTCCATTGGACATTGCAGCAATCAACTTGCTTTAAGCAGTCTGATAAAAATACGAGTCACAAATGTTTTTTGTTGAAATTGTGATTCCTAAACGAGATAAGAAAGTAGTACTTTATTTTGTGACAAAAAAAAAATAGATACATATTCTAGGAAAATTAATATTTTCTACACGGTAGAATGGGGCAAATACTCAACGAAAAACAACTTACTTCCCGAGCTAATATCACGATGAATATTCGATTACAACCGTCAGACATTTGTGCAAGTTTCCCACAGAAATTATCTTTTGCAAAAACATCTGTACGAAATATTTGGTATTCGCCAGGTAAGTAGTTGTTTTTCGGTAGGCATTTGCCAGAATTTGTTTGTGAAGTGTTTATTTTCTTGAAGACCAAGTTTAGCCAACAAAACAAAATAGGGGTAAAAATCTCAGCTCAAAAACAAATTAGTATTTGGGAAAAAAGGTTTTGACTTTCTACTTCTCCATTTTTATATGAAACAAAGTGCAAATCTTCCAAAGAAAGGAAGAAAGTAATATATTACAAAGACTTTTATATGAACACTGAATTATATTACATTATACTAGTACTATGTTGCTGTATCGCTTCTGTTTCAATGTTTTGACAGAATCAGAATCAACGAACTTAGGCGTGTGCAGCGTTATAGAACAGTGCTCTAAAAAAAGTGTTCTACAGCGCCATCTAGTGGCGAGTTACAAAAAAATTGATAGCCTAAAAACCTTTCCTATGAAAAATTACTTATACATGTCAAGTTTCATCACGATCGGTTGAGCGACGTAAAAGTTTATCACTTACCAACCAACCAAAAAACATCCATTTTTATATGATTGAAATATGATCAACAGCAGATTTATTAAGTTTTTTTTAATAAAAATTAGCAGCTTCAAATAATCAAATGAGTAGTTGTAGTACTCAAACTTATCCAAAAAGATATTTCATACTTCAACTTCTGGGACACCCTGTATTTGATATTTAAAAACATCTGTTGACAACAAACCAATAAACAATTTGAAACACCGAAAACTAATGAAAAGGTCATGGTGACCTTCATCAAGGTTGCAGAGAAATACCTTTTTCAAAGTATAATTGATGAAAAATGAACATTAAAGATGGCATTGAACGGTTTAGGTTAATTGGGAACGATGTTTCAAGATCAATCACGATAACAAACGGTTCTTTGAAATATTGTAACTACTTTCCTGATTACCACCACGACGAGTACTGGCTCAGATCCACTGTTTTTGGTGTTATTGGCGTCATCTGGGTATTTCGACACACCAAAAAAGAGGCTGCCAAAATGAATTCGACAGTATAAAAAATACTTACATCAAAATCAATACAACGGTGAATGGCATCAAACAAATCTCCGTGAAGGCGACAGCCCTTAGTATGTTCAGCGACTGGAATTCCACGAGCGAAATGAGCAATCTTGCGCCCCACCATGAGTTCTGTCCGAGAGTCTAAAAAAATATATATATGCCAGGATCTTTCATGATCCTCATATTACAACTGAACGATACTTACGTCCAACAATGTGAGAGAATAACTGGCAGCGTGGAGCATGCAGAATAATAAAATTGGCACCAAAACCACTGGAGAAATAGTTGAGGAAAATTGTGAAGTTCATAAAAAATGGACATACAAAGTGCTTTATTACTGTGGAAAATCCGAACACTGTTATAAATATCTTCATAATTCATAGTTCAAATCACAAATAAGGTTAAACTTGTTCAATTGATGACCTATTTATTTTGTAAAAATTCATATTGAGTATAGGATAAACAAATTATCTTTTGTCTGACCTGTTCTTTATTTGTTACGATCGGTTTCGATTCGTTACACCATTCCCAAGTCCTGAGTTTGTTTTCGCAACTAAAACAAGTTGCTTGTATCTGTTTTTGAAAACCAAAACTCGTCTCAAGCATCGTTTGTTATGCAACACACCTAAGTGGAGAATTACTGTTAGTTTTTTCTATTGGACGCAATATCAATTTGAAACTTATGTCAGCTTTCCTTTATACACGAGATAAATCGGACTTCAACACACTAATGGATCACCCTGTATGACGTAGTGAAGATTACATGTTACATTGAATCTGTGATTCTATCAAAGGATACATGAAAGGGGTGCCACATATAAGAATATCAGCGAGTAGAACAAGTAGTGACAGCTGTCTTCCGTTAACAACGCCGAAATGAATTCCCTGCTCAATGTGACTCTCCCAACTCTCTGGTGCAGCCTCAGGGCGTTGATGGCGGCATTCGCTAGTAAAACTTTGTAGTAGAAGTTATGAGAGTTCCTGAAAAAATCAATATTTATTTTTTAGTAGGGAAAAGCTTGTGTAGGTAGGTATAAGTGTAGGATATGGAGGAAGTCATTTGGAAATGTTTTGCGAACAGATATTTTGAATTCGCTTGCAACGACTTGATACTTTTTATTTTTGGTGAAATAATTTCCAAAATTTTCCAGAAGCTCTTTAATTCGTAACATTCGAAAAAACAAGGAATACTTGTTGCAAAATTTACAACTATTTCAACTTCATCTGAACCATCAGTTATTTTGATGAGTCAATCTTTTTCTGCAAGTTGTTTTATAAATGTATTTGAAAAAAAAAGTGCTCTTATAGTTTCTGTACATGAAATGGCAATAAAAAATATATAATTATAGCTAGATATATTTTCTTTATTTCGTTTCTGAACTCTAATCAAAATAATCAATTTCGATTAGATTTATTACGCAGCCAAATTAATTTAAAAGAACTGGTAATAATATTTTATTAGATCAAACAAGTTTAGGTTAACCAAATCATGTTTTGTTTTGGTTGAAATCATACATTAGTTTACTGTATAAGTTTCAAAATGTCCTTAAAGGACAAAGCTGCAGTAACGTTAGTTACAAATAAAAGTGGTAAAAAACATCAAAGTGGAATGAAAATGAAATACAGCAGTGAAGTACTCAATTGCAAACTTGCTCAAGACCAGTGTCCTTGTGCCAATTCAGAAAGTCCCTAACACAAATAAATCCTGGGAATTTAAACCAATCAACACTTTGCCTTGTATTGAAAAAATATTAGAACTCGCAGTTTATAATAAACTCATTGAATCTCTAGAAAATAATGATATTTTACTAAAATATTAGTCAGGTTTTAGAAAACATCATTCATGTGAGTCTGCATTACAAGTCACAATATCGAAATGGAAAGAATCAATAGATAAGGGACATTATATCATAGCCGTACTTTTTAGATTTTAAAAAAGCTTTTGAGACAATTGATCGCCACATATCACTGAATGAACTGCAAAGAATTGGTATCAGGGAAACTGTTTTGTTATGGCTGACTGATTATTGATCACAACGCAAACAGGTAACCAAAATAAAGGATTCAGTGTCATTAGCTCGCGATGTCATTTTCGGGGTACCTCAGGGGAGTGTTTTGGGACCTATATTATTTTTAATCTACCTGAATGATATAGATACCATCCATGGTTGTGATCTCATGAACCTTTTTGCAGACGACACTTTGTTAATTCCATCAATTTATTCAAAAATATTATAATTATAGACAATATGCTTTGCATATCTTGTCGATATGCAAAGCATATTGAAAAAAAATAATTTTTTTGTGGTCAGAATTGTTTATTGACATGTTTTGGGATCTTTTACCTTCCACCATCTGAAAAAAGTTGAAAAAAAAAAAGCAAAAAGCTGACATCCATCGAGACTTTGGAAAATAAAACGAACCAAAGAAAAAATTGCATGATACATTTGATTTTTTCAAATCTGAAGACAGAGGCGGGTTTTTGCCTCTCAAAACGTCAAGATAAACATTCATTTCTCAACTATTTTTCATAGCAAACTTATAAAGTAAGAAAAGCTAGTATTAATAGAACTTAAAAAAAAAAATACTTTGAATTTACGCAGTAACTCATTGGGTCGAACCGATTTTTTCTTTTATACCCCTGTTCAAAGTTCTCCATTACAATTTTCATATTTTTCAGATTGTATGTGATAAAAGAACCAAGAACAAAAGGTTGACAAAAGACAAGCATATTCAAACTAAATCAAAGTGTATCTCATTAAAATTATTTAAACAATTCATTAATTAGTAATCCATTTACAATGAATAAAATACAATCATCCAAACTCCTTTATTATTAGTCAGTGGGCTATGCTTGAAAACTGGCAGTAAACAAATCCAAAGAAATGAACTTTAAACGTTGAAGCCAGTCTCGTATATACCTACACAGTAGGTTGAATGGACTGACGCCTATCCGAAACGACTACTCCCCTGGCTAATATACCACGAAGGGCGTCGGATTCCTGCACTGACGCCTGTCGGATATAATCCAACGCCCTTCGTGGCATCAGCCAGGGGAGTAGTCGTTTTCTGATAGGCGTCAGTCCATTCAACATACTGTGTAGGTACTTCCGAGACTGGCTTGAACGTTTAAAGTTAATTTCTTTAGATTCAAACTCCTTTAAATGAAAATTTCACTACCGACTGTCACATAAAAAAACCCTGTATCAGGTTATTTCGAAAGTTTTATTTTTTCAATGTCACGTGTTTTTGTAGCTCCATATCTCAATAAATATTTAGTGAGTGGGTCTGTTCGACCCTCCACCTGTGAATCAACAACTATCTGCTATTAATATTTCCTTCTCCCGGAGAAATCCACTATGTCGTGGTATATACTGTTCGATAGAGAATTTTGTTCTGGGGATTTTAATCTCGAAAAAGAGCCCCGAAGTGGTCGACCTTCAGTTATCCAGGACGAGGATTTGCGGACCCTGGTAGAGATTAACTAATTACAAACAGTGCGTGGGATGGCGAAAGAACTAGGCTTCAGCTCCCTACTTATCAGAACTTTTATCAGTAATTATTTTGAAATTTGCTGGAATCCTTGAATATATAACGAGACTACATTATTTGTCTTCAATTATACAAGCACAATTGAAAATGACTAGAATGTCTGGAGATTATGAATATAAATATTAGACAATGCAAACACTTACTCGAACAAATAT